GTGTGTTGGTCAACCCTTGGTGGATTGACTCAGGCCTAGCAGCGCGGTGGGAATACCGGTGTCGGCAGTTGCACGGAGTCGCCTGTCTAGAGCCACCCGGCTCTACTACCCTCTCAATCATACGACCGACTCTCCTCGTTGATGTTAGCCAACAATGCCTTGTCATAGCACAGCCTATGCACGAATATGCTGCCCTCAGCTATGTGTGGGGCAATAATCCCTTCTTCAAGACACTCCGTTGCAATATTAATCGCCTCAAAATTCCCCAAGTCCTCAGCACTGGATCTGATATTAATATTCCCCAGACTATCCGAGACGCTATGGGGGTGATTGAAAGCATGGGGTTCAAATATCTATGGGTAGACTGCCTTTGTATTATCCAGGATGATGAACAACATAAACATGCTGAACTAGCATCAATGGCAGCAATATTCGCTAATGCTACATTCACTATTGTTGCTGCGAGCGCGAGTGATGCAGCCGCGGGTTTGCCTGGTTTTTCTGGCATATCAAAACCAAGAGATGTCCAACAAGAAGCTTTCACGTTAGAATGTGGACTTCAAATAGTCAAACTTCAGCAGCCTGATATACCAGCGTTTTGGAGGTTCACTCAACCCTGGGGTCGGCGAGCCTGGACTGTGCAAGAGCACATCTTTTCCAAACGAAGGCTCATCTATCAAGATGGCTGGATACGATGGCATTGTTCCAGAGCCACTTGGCAGGAGGACAGTATAGCCTTTCAGGAATATAGCACAGCCACTCAGAGAGGTACAAGGAGGTGGGATGACACCTGGGGAGACCTCCGAGATATACGCGAAGGGCTTGGCCGTAATATCCCAGATGTTGCCTCACTAGCCGAATCGATTAGGTACTTTGTCCAGGCTAATTTAACATTCCCAGAAGATGTTTTGGATTCATTTGCTGGGCTGGCCACCGCCCTCGAGCCCTGCTATGAACGCGGGTTTCTATCTGGTCTCCCTGTCGCTTTCTTCTACACTGCGATTCTTTGGCAGCCATTTCAGCACCTACATCGCCGGAGAGCTAAAAACCCTAGCTGTCAGCTCAGATTGCCCACCTGGTCTTGGGCCGGGTGGCAGGGTGGAATCAGTTTAGGGGTCTGGCAGGCCGCCGCAGACTTTCAAATCAAACATAATGCTTGGGACCATACAAGTCTTGAGCGTATACTCCCACTCTTTGAGTGGAAATATCATAAGAGTCTAAAGGCTTGTGGAAAGCCAATTCCGAACATTTGGTGTAACACGAGAAGAAAATTCTACAATAGTAGATGTAACGAACCATGCCCTAATGGTTGGACACGCCATACACTCTCGGAGAGCCGCTTTATAGAATCTGATGACGAGATACAGTTCTTGAACAAGAACCCGCGGCATGTATTTCGGCACCAAAGAGAGACAACGAATGAGTTTAGGTACCCTCTGCCCCTTAACGTACAGAGAGTAGCACCATTGGGGCTAGGGGTAATACCCTATATATCCTGCTCAAGCAAACGAGCCTATCTAAAAGTGGACACATTGTTTGATGATTTATCAGGAAATACGAATGCGGTGCTAAGGGACGATTCAGGAATCTGGCTTGGTATACTTACGTTAACTGACATGACAGGGCTTAGTTGGGGCGATAATCCCTCTGATACTATTTTAGGCTCTACTCTCGAACTTGTTGAAGTTGCACATGGTCGCTCGCGAATTGATGATCCTGGAAATCCGCGAAATTTTCTCTGTCCCGAATTATCCCTTAAAGCTCATGAAATGCCAACTGATGGGCCATTTTATGAGTATTACTATGTTATGTGGGTTGAATGGGAAAAGGATATTGCGTATAGAAAAGGCATAGGCCGTGTTGCAAAGGCTCGTTGGGAGTTATTAGAACGGGAGTGTGTTGAACTGATGCTTGGGTAATCGACATTATTATATGATTTGCCCTACTTCACACAATGCTCGCGCCACACAGTGGAAGCTAGTATATAATATAGACTTAAGTGTAGGTCGCGCGACTTACTCACCTAGGCATCTACATATACTCACTATGTACGGACCACCAAGAGGGAGCAAAAATGTTCTCTGGGCTTTGGTTTGAAGGCACCAAGGCAAAACGCCAGAGACAAAATGAAGCAAAAGGCTCCAGGAGTGCTTCCCTGTCTCATTGCGTCGTCGGCGCCGCCACTGGGACTGTTTCCAGTCCGGGCGACGCCTCGGGACAATCCCAATCCTGCCAGCACGCTTCCTGGTGCTCTAGCGTAGATTCCGCCTCATGGCACACATGACCCGGGTACTGTACGCTGTGTTGAAGCTTAAAATAGGAATAATAGTCCGGGGATTTCAAAGCCTCGCTGTGGCTTGGGCTAAAAACCCACCGATTCGCAGTGGCAAACACTAGTGCAGTAGTGGCATCTCGTGTCTCTCAGCTAAATGATGCTGGCTCAGCCTGGCTGGGGCCGGCCTGAGCGCGGGTGTTCTGGCAGGATCATTTGGCTCGTGGCACAGACAGAGAGCATACGTATGCTTCCTTGCCAGCCCTTCTTCTGTGTCAGCTTGGTCAGCCAAGCACCAGATTGCCACAGCGATCTCTGGATTTGAGAATCTCGTGCGGACCGACGTGCCTGCCGGCTGCATATATCACTCGCCAAGATTCATGCTCCCCTGCTGTGCAATCCATGATGCAAATGATGCAAATGATGATGATGCTCAGCACACCTGACTGTTTGGGGTGCCACCAATTTCCCCCCAGGATGCTGAAACACCCTTCTCCCGGGCAGACATCCCCAAAGAAGGAAAAAAATATGTCATGTCGCAAAAGATGGGCGACCCATAGTCTGTTCCAACGACCTTTTGCAACCCTTCGCCACCGATGCCCGTAGATGATTGGTATGCGCCCGGTTCACTCAGATTGCCACCTTCCTCCGCCGTTGATCTCTCTACACACATGGTTCCTCAGCTGGGATCTCGACGCTAGGCAATAAGCATTCTTTAGGGCCCCTCCGTTGGGCTGTTGTCGGGAGGCGTTTGTGCGCCCCAATGCATACGTAGGCAGGTTACACAATGCGACACAACTCCGAGACATCTGCCACACACTAGCATGATACAGTGCCTATCTGGTACTTTGTACCTCGGATTCTGAATCAATAGCATGGCTGTCAACAGCCGAGCTTTAGAAGGCTGGGAAGAGGGTCATATTTTGAATTGGGAGATCAATGGTGCGTCTTAGAAAGAGGGCTCGAGTATCTGCTCTATCGACACCTACAAAGGAACCCAGCCGGTGCAAAACACCCCGAATATGCTGCGAACAGGCAGCCAATCCTCGTTGAGATGATACAAGCTGAGACCGGATCTAACTAAGCCCACGCTTATCACGTGCTTTCACATGTCCGCCTGAGCTGCGATACCGGCACCTGCACCAGCATTAGAGGCCATTGAGATGGTACTCCGCCCCTGTGCTGTGTACCTTAGATGATGAAATCACCAACTCGCATACCCGTTGTTGTGAAAAGGAATACCCCCGCATAGAAAGAAATATAGGAAGAGCCGCAAAGGATAATCACACGGATACTGAAGCACCTCAAGTATTATGAATTGGTCTCGCAAAATGATGAGTACGACAGCCCTGGCTACCGTTTCATGGCAGTAGAACGCCGGGACTCTCACATCTTTCTGGTCTGCGATTTATATATCGCCGACTACAGCTCTCTCGGCGCGCTTGGACGGCAAGAATGAGCTACCTATCAAGATGGTCCGCATATCCTCGCAGAGTACTATCAAGGCAGAAGAGACGCCACGAGCAATATATCGAGTTGGTGCCGAGCTCAGGCGTGCCCATGAGTTGCACGGCTGAGGTCAGCACCCGCCTTACATGATCCATCATACGGATGGGGCATCCCCCGTCTACTAGAATTCATAATCGGTAATTGCCATGAAGTAGATTTCGTAGGAGTTATCGCGGCTATTCTCTCCAGCGCCAGGCGAGCCGATACTTGCATCGGGAGTCGAGATTATGCAGAGAGCCCCAATACGTGGTGACTGACTGAATATGTTGTCCCTTGACTTCCTGCTATCACACTAATCAAGACAAACATCGCGACAATATTTCCGAGTCTATACATGTTGTCCACAACAGTTAATAATAAGTACGTTCTTATTAGGTGGACACTCCTCCGTAGGTGGTTTACTTGCCCATCATTCATGGAGTCTTTCTGTATCTGACCGGGAACTATAACAATATGCGCCAGGGTTTCTGTATCACAGGTTAATATATTAACATTTAAATATCAGCTAATCAAGACCTTTGAAGTTGAATCGGTGCTGGGGGGTTCTATGATCATCTCTATTGATGAATGTTCTGGACTTAAAGGTAATGATTTTTCTTGAGAATCCACTAGTAAAACTCGCTGTACCATCCGCAACTAACGGCAACTTGGGTAGCCTTCCCGTAGTATTCGGCAGGTTTCCGCCTAGGTGGGGAAGCCAGAATGGCTTCCCCAGAAAGTGGTAGAAATTGTTGGTTGCGAGGCTGCAAGATGTCGTTACATTTGCTTTGTAGAGGAGCATCCGGCAGAGATCCGAATTTGAAGAGTAGCTATTTGCAGGTAGTCCGCCCATCCTCCCATGAGACTGGCCAAGTAATTACGTACCGTCATGCGACTTATCAGACGAGTTTATCGCCCTGCAGCTCCCTAGACGAGTATACGAGGCATGCGCCCGTCCTATCGTTTGTGAAGCCCTTTTGTATTTTTCACCTCGTCTCCCAGCAAAATGGACTCTCTTCCTCTGACAAGATGCACCTTTCCGCAGCGTATACAGACCCCGTCAAGGTGAGACGATGGGCTTACAGCATCCTCATCCCGCACGAGTCAGGCCAATTATCCCTCCGTCTCCACCTTCCGGGGAACACCGACCGATAACACCTTCGCCGCGGGGCCCAGATCCCGAATCTTCTATCCGCGTCCATCATATGATTCACAACTTCGAACAACAGACAACGCCGCCATGGTACAAGATATTGGCAGCGGCAGCGGCAGCGACCCTGCCCCCGCGCCCTCCGAGCCCAAACCCGCCGCCAACGGCACCCTCCCTTCTTCGAAACCGCACGACGCCCCCGCGCATCCGCTCTCCGAGGTCTCGCGCCAGCTCAACGACAAGATCAATGCCTTCCTCGCCGACCAGACAAAGGACCCCATGCTCCAGAGGGTCCAAGCCCAGGTCCGCGTGGCCATTGAGGTAGTGGAGGAGGCCTACCGGAGATTCAGGTAAACGTGTTCCCGCAGGAGGGGAGCCCCGGAAGTGGTGGACAACCCGATCTGACCAAGAACCATGAACCAGACCCGAGCAAATCTCCCTCTCCTACAATGGCGGCAAGGACTGCCTCGTGCTCACAATCATCGTCCTCGCTTGCCTGTCACGACGCTCCGCCGCCGCCGAGGGCGAGACGACTTACCCCGCCACCTTCCCCGCCGTCTACGTCGTCTCACAGCACCCGTTCCAGGAGGTCGACGACTTCGTCGCCTCCACGAGCGCCGAGTACCACCTGCAGGTCTCGAGCTACCACGCGCCGATGCGAGAAGCCCTGACCATCTACCAGGCTGAGAACCCCAAAATAGAGGCCATCTTCGTGGGCACCGTACGTTTTTACTCCGGAATGACTCGAACCCGCCGCATTCCGGCTTCGGCCCTACCCAACCCAAACCCAGACGACTTGGAAGAGAGAGCTTGGCTGACAATTTTGGATCTTCCTGAATAGAGACGGACGGACCCTTTCGCGGAGAAGTTGCAGCATTTCGATCCGACAGACGCAGGCTGGCCTTCGTTTATGCGGGTACACCCTGTGATTGACTGGCACCTCGGTATGTTTGGCTGGCGGGTGGGGGAAGTGGGATGAGCACTGCTTCCCTCCGGCCTTGAACTCTTTTTTTATATTCAGTTCGCTAACTTTTCTTTTCCTCTGCTCAAAAGTCGAGATCTGGACAGTAAGTCACAAGAGCTCCGGGATTGGCGAACCTTGAACTAACAAAGCCCGGCAGTTTATTAGGCACCTCAACATCCCATACTGTGAACTATACGACCAAGTAAGTTCATCGACTTTCACACCTAGAGACGATACAGCTCCCGGGCTTCCCAAGCACATCTCGCTAACTTTATTCAAGGGATACACCTCACTAGGCGGTAGACTGAATACACATCCAAACCCTCTGCTAAAGAAGGAGGGAGAAGCAGGTTTCCGAGTACGTCCCCCTCAATCCCACCAGATCACTAAACCGGCTCCCCTTCAAACCATGGCAAACTCTATCCATCCATATTCTCTTACATCTCACCCGGCTACCTTTCACGAATCACAACCCTCTCTTTGGTGCAGTTACTAACTCGTAGTTTTCTCTTTCCCTCACCTCCAGCCTGCATATGAACTTGTAGATGACAATGTGGAACGACTAGGTCGGGATAGATAATATAGAAGAAGGAATATGACAAAATGTAGACTCCAATCATGCGGTTCCCAAATCCCCTGCTCGTATCTGTTCTCGAAATTTCCAACTCATATCGTATCTCACCACATTCCCCCAGTCGCGAGTGTGCCCATCCCCTCCCTCAACCTCAGATTACAACGTGACGTTGCAACTAATCGGCATGCAAGGGGGCGAACGAGCGCATGAACCAGTCGGATGGCATACCATCCACCCAACCCCCACAGGGTCGATCAAATGTCATGGTAGAGGGCAACACCGCGTTTCAGCTCGGTTACAATCTCGGCCGCCTCATCTACGCCGCGGGTCTCGAAGTCGTACCGCTTAAGCTCCGTGGTTTTGTATATGATCAGCTGTAGGAAACAAAAACACTACAAGTTAGCCCTCGGCCTCCGTGAAATCAGGGGGAAAACACCATTGGACTTGCCTGAACATTCGTGGGGTGCTTGCGAAGCACCTTGCACCCGACCACGCTGCGGAAATGAACCGTCGTCGTCTTGCCGCCGCCGTCTCGCAGGGCCTTGCCGCCAGACGCCGGCACAATGTGGATGTACTCCCCGTCGATGACGAGGATCCGCTCGCTCATGCCGACGATCCGCATGGGCTGCTTGCGCCACACCGTGTACTTCTTGTAGGTCGCGCTGCGCAGCTCGTCCTGCTTCGCAATCTCCCGAGCCAGCGGGTGCGGACCCAGCATCTGGGTCTTCTTGGACTTCTTCTGCCCGTAGACCTCGGCCAGCGCCGCCTTGGGCGAGGTGCTGCCCGGTGATCCCGACATCGTCAGGGGACCGTCGGTTGCGAAACGGCGTCGGTGTAGTTCCAGGTCTGACACATTTCCGATCGAGGAAACGGGCCGGTCAAGCATGACGACGACCCCAGAGCCGGGAAGCTTCAGGACGTGATTGGCCTTCTCCAGTTGCCGTTTTGTGCAGACAGTTTCCAGGACTTGGACGAGATATGTATCTGTTGTGACATCAACCGTCACCATCTGGCCTGGGGCAACATCCGAGGACATGATGGAAATTCTCAGAAGCTTCCTCGGACCACGTGCAGTGCTGTTCGTCGTAGCAGGTGCTTGTGGCATGTCTGCCAAAGGCGTATTTGTACGGTAGGTAGTTGTGATGATGGGATTCTGTCGCGGACGGTATTGCTCCGCCGACAGGTGGTTATTGCTTGAGCTATGCGCCAGAGATCCAGGCTTCTGGACAGGCTCTTCGGGGATGGCGGGTTCGGGAGCCTCCTCCTGCACTGGACGCTCCTCGGTTTCTTCCTGTGGTGTGAGCTCTTTATTATCCTCGTATTCGTCCTTCGAGGCTTCTACCAAAGCGAATTCATCATACGCTGTCGAGTTAGATCGCCCCCGTCCACCGCCTCTCTGGTTAGCATTGTTGACTGTGGTGAATGAATTGAGTGCTTTGGTTCTTTCAAACGGTGGAAAGTCATCATCCACTTCTCCGTCCTCGACCATCCTCAGCGTCCACCAGTTAATGTTCAGCTTGTCTGACGGCAGCGGTGGTTCCTTTTTATCCGTATTGTATCGGTAAAGACTCAGGCCAATCAAGTCAGCGACAGTCACTGGCCGTTCAGTACCCTGGCCGTCATGGACACGAGGCTGGATGAGCAGCTCAAATGGCTTCCCGGGCTTCTTTGAGAAAGCAGGATATATCCGGACTGCGATCGAACCCTGCGTGCCCTGGCCATTGTAGTGGGCGAACTTTTGGAAGGGAACTGATTTGTGTTCCTTTGCCTTGAGTGCAGCCGATAACAAACTTCTGGGCTGAGCCATGCTTGGGGGCCGGATAGTGCTCATCGGACGTGGCGGGGGAAGAGCCTCAAGCATGACCTTCACAGGTGGCCGCGATTTCCGAACAGTAGACTGCCGAGTGAGGTTCTTGGGCGGCGTGCCAACAACTTGCTGAGTGGGCGAGGCATTGATCGGGACAGGCACCTCGGCCACATCGAGAATTGAGACGGAGTCGATACTCCCAACATAATTGTCAGACAGATCAGAACCGTCATCGGAGTCATCGTCATCGTCCTCATCTAATGTGGTACCAGCCATCCTGAGGCCCGCTGGAGGTTCCTCCTGGATCTTGTCCTGGAACCTCGCAGCCCTAGCCACAGCCCGTGTTGCTCCTCGGCTCTGCTGCTTCTGGGGGGTGTCGATCTCATTGTCTGAGGATATCTCGCTGCTCGTCACTGTGTCGCGCCTTGCCCTCTCCTTGACAACTTCAAGCGCCGACTGTGACCCCCGACGCCGAGACCGGGGCGATTGGGCCGTCTTCATATTGCTGGCCTGCGTCGGAGATGACCCGGATCGATTCCTGACGGGCATTTTGGCGAACTTGATCTGCTGCGCTGCTCGCTGGTCCGTCTCGTCATCACTCTCGTCGCTCAGATCACTGCTGTCCACCTCCTCCTGCTCCCTGCGCCTCCGCCTCCTCGTCGCTGCCATGCTGGGCCCAACGGTGTCTGCGCCGCCGCCCGTGAGCATGCCCCCGTCTTCCTCTCCATCCTCCAGTGTGTATCCCTGGTTCCTCGAGGCCTGGAAGTATTCAGAGGCGATGGCGGTCGGGATCGGAGGGGAGTGGGTTCGCTTGATATGGGACGAGTTGGGCCGCCATCCGGCAGCTTTGAAGGCGGCTGAATTGACGAAGCCCTCGTTTACTGTGAGGAGGCGCTCGCCGACTCCGTCTGTGATTTCGTTCAGGTAGCTTGTGCGCAGCTGGTATAAAACGAGCCTGGACTGGTCAGCCATTTCCACCTCTCGGGGTCTTGCGTGGCGGGTGGACCTACTCGTCAAGCTGGATAACAGACATGGCTGCGGTGCGGCGCCTGTCACTGGCCAGCCAGGAGTCTGTATATGTGTGTGCAAATTGGAAAAACTTCAGGTCATGGCGCAGTCGAAAACAGAATATAGATATGAACTGAGTAAGAAGCTAACGGAGGGCGTCAGACTTGAAAGGTAAAGGCCGTTAGAGTTCACTTGTGATAATTGGCCTGTTTTGGAGTTGGGGAGTGTGGAGAGAGTGGGCAGGCTGTAACTCTGTCTCGCTACAGGGACCTGTTTCACTGTCTCAGGGACCGCAGGGGCGGCGTACCTGGAGAGCTGCTGCAATAAAAAAGCACCAGGAAGCGGCAGAAAATACATAGGGAGTCAATACTAAGAGGAAAAGGAACTCTTTAAAAATTGCCTCATAATCGAGGCTACTACCGTGGATATTGCAACAAAGCCCACGGGAAGCACGTTGCATGTCAACATTTCAAGGGTATCTGCTGTCCCACTGGCCGACGTCACTTCACAGCGGCCGACCACCGGCATCACAAGCACTAAGGCAAAACTCCACTCAGCACATGGCACCAGCAGCCATCAAGCTCCGAGCTCTTCAACTGCGCTCCCTTTCCTCCCTCCCTCCCTGCGTCGACCACACAGCATCGCCCATAGCTCACACAGGAGAGAATGGGTCTCGTCGACTACTCCGAGTCCGACTCCTCGGACAACGAAGCCCCCGCGCCCCCCAAGCCCGTCGCGCAAACCCAGCAAAACCGCCCGTCATCGAAAAAGCCCTTCCAAAAAGTCGTCGACCGGTCCAACCCAGGCAAAATTGTCCTCAACCTGCCCCAGCCCAAGGCAGACGGCGCCGCGAGCACCAGCGATGAACCGCCCGCGAAGCGCGCCCGTACAGGCGGCAAAGGCGGCCTGTTCTCGGGTCTGAACTCGTTCTTGCCACCGCCGAAGAATGCGAACAAGGCCGTTGTGTCTTCGTCCGGCGCCATCTCGAAGCCGAAACCCGGGGTCAATCTGAAGACGAGTGCGGCGCCTGGTTTCAGTCGCGAGGGAGAAGACGAAGAAGGGCAATCGGGCAGCGGCGGTGGCCTAATCCTACCTCCTCCTAAATCACAGGCTGCCCCGTCGATACCGGAAGAGCAAAAGGCGGCCGAGGATGTCAAACTAGTTGGCAAACCTCTCATGTTCAGGCCTCTCTCAGTGGCCAGGAACCCAAAGAAGAAGAAAGTGGCCAAGGCTGCGGCGCCTGTGGCCCCATCTGCCACTCATGGTGTGATATCAGAAGGACAGTCGAATGGGAACGGCCAAGTACAGCCTGCACCCCAACCAGCGCCAGCCCCCAAGAAGGTCTCTCTGTTTTCGCTCCATACGGAAGAACTTTCAGTTCCCTCTGCCCCGTCTGGTCAGGATGGCGCCTACGAGCCTTTGTTTAACAGCCAAGACACCGCCACAGGGTCCGTCACGGGCCCGTACGGCACCCACGATGCAACCCAACAGCAGCACACCCCCACAGCAGCAGTCTCAAACCAGTCCGAGTCTCTGCAGTACATCGCGGACGACCTCAACCTCTCCGCCGCAGAGAGGCGGGAGCTCTTCGGCCGCGGCGGCCTGAGCGCCGCGCAGTCTTCCAAGAAGGTCATCAACTTCAACATGGACAGGGAGTACCAGCACAACCGGGAGCTACAGGCCTCCGGGGAGCAGCAGATACACAACCCCCTGCGCTCCATCAATGCCGAGGGCAAGTCCAGCCTCAAGCAGCTCGTCCAGAACGCGCAGACCCAGCGGGAGGCGCTGGAGGAGAACTTCGCCAAGGGCAAGTCCAACCGCAAGGAGGCGTCCAGCAGATATGGTTGGTAGATGTCGAGATACCCAAGGAACTAACATTGACTTTTCTTTTACTTCACCATCACCAAGCGCGCATAATTTTCTTCTTCTTCTTTATTATCTTTAGTATCTCAAAATTTATTGCCGAAGCTACAATTTGGCATCTTAATAGCAAGATGAAAGAGAAGGAACAAAAGCTCGCTATGTTCAAAAAAAAATGGTATATCCAACAAAAGAGGGAGTGTTTCCCGAAACGCCATTCTGCATTTAGTCCGTCCATCATAATACGTTTCCGTCCATTCGTCTAGCACGTTTCAACGGCAACAGTCCTGCCCACGCGCAGTGAGTTATCCACCATCAAAAATCCCCATTCACCTCTGGTGACGGGGGAGATGTCGTCATATTCGTTTGGTGTGACCGGGCCCAGGTCCGGAGAGCTTCTGTCAGAGCCGGGGGTCAGCATCATCTCGTCGATGGAAGAATTCCTCCACGACGGGACCTTGAACGGCAGTTGGTCCTTCGGTCGAGCCGTCAGGTTGCTGTTCGGTTCATCGTCACTATCGCTGTCGTTGGCCGAAGTGTCGAAATTCGTTTGTAGTTTGGGGAGGAATGGCATCGCCAGGCTCTGCTGCTGTTCATCCTTGGTCTCCTCCATCGGAGGAGCCAAGTCACGCTCCGGGGAACCGGCGCAAGTTCTCTCACTCGCGCCATCCCCATCGTCATCCCTGATTTTTACATCATGCCCTGTGACAACAACAGTTCGGACTCCTGTAGGTACAATCCCCGTGATGGCACCCAGCCCTTCAGGGCCACCATATGCCCTTCGATACATGAGATCCAGGTCGCCGATCGCCGCATGGGAAACACTCAGCCAGTCATAGGACCGGAGCAGATCCGACCTGGTGACCTTGCGGCCGTTCCCCGCAAGCACAAGACGGCGGAGCTCATCCACAGCGTCCTCCAACCTCAGGGGGGATCTCGTCTTCGAGTACGCAGACAAGGCACTCTTCAGGCTGTAAAGCCCATCAAGTGCCACGAGCACTAGACCGTCTGAGGAGAAGAGGACCTCGTTCTGGCTCATTGACCGCTGTATAAGTTGGTTCGTCAAGCCGCACGTGGTCGAGCTCACCGGTTCCGAGAGCCATTCGGCGCTGTTTTAAAAGCAATATGTTAGCCATACAATCTTTTCTCCAGTTTTTGTTGCTGCGTCCTTGACTCACCCTATCCTGAACTTCCTCCGGGCATTGTGGATAATCGTCCTCAAGGACTTCTCATCCTTGGCCGACACCTCCTCCGAATACACCAGCTGCATCCCATGCGACCCCGAAATCGGCGAAGGGTGAGCCATATCATTAGAAGCAACCGTGCTCGTCGTCGTCACGCTTGTCGCGGTCGTGGCTGAGGAAGGGGTACACGGCGTCATGGGGGACATGCTGGCGGGCGAGAGGGGCCACTGCAGCTTCGGGGACATGCGGCCGAGGGAGGAGGAGGCGGTCATGGAGGAGGCGAACGAGGAGGCGAAGGAAGGGGTCGGCGAGGCCATGCTGCCCCTGAGCTGCTGGGTCTCGATCCTGAGCCGCATGGGCGAGCGCGGTCCGTGGACCGAGCCGGACCGCACGAGCTGCCGGAGGGAGGACACGGGGGAGGCTGCGAAGCTGAAGCGAGGAGAGAGCGGTGTGGTCGGGATGGGGGAGCTCTGCATCCCGGGCGAGCCGCACGGGGGGACGACCGTGGGCAGCTGGTAGTCTCTCCGGACCGCCACGAGGGTCAGGTAGATGGACTTGCGGGCCAGCTTGTCGGAGACGTATTCGAGGGCTGGGGTCAGGTGTGGTGGGAGGTGGTGGGCGTCCAGGATGGAGATGCCGGCCTCCAGAGGCGAGGAGATCATCTCCTTCAACGCCATTTTTTTTTTGCAGCAAAAGACAAAGGTATTCAAAGAAAGTCGAATGGAAAGAGTGTCGGTTCTTGGATTTAGCCAGCCAAAAAGGGATACCACAGGTACCAAGTGATAAAGAGAGGCGGGGGGCAGGGCGAGAGCGAACAGCACGGCGTACAGATACAGCGAGAAGCAGGAAGAAAAGAGAGAAAAAGGCTATGGTCTCCAAAGTCAAACTGGATAACAACAACAACGAAGAAGCTGCTACTGCTGCCGGTGCCGCTCGTCTGAACCGCCCTCCTTCATGACAGGTCGGAACCTAAGTCGATGGTGAGAGGAAATCCAGCGGGTAGGAGGAGAAACCGCGTAGAAGGGGAACAATTATATATTTCTGGTCGAAGCCTCATACACGCCAAAACAGAGGCTATTTGAGGATATACCAAATTAGTTACCGCCTTTCTGCAAGGGGGGTTGGTGGGAGGAGGCTAGTACACCCAGAGCTGTGGGAGAACAGGACGGGAACAACGAGGAGAACAAAACAAGGGACAGACACGCGAGGGAAAGCCTTGGTGTTGTGTTTAAAAATAAGCAAGTTTCTAAAATCTTCCAATCCAAGTACGCGCAGATCAAAGGCACCAGAGCAGCTGAAACTAAACCAGGCCCGGCCGCATTTCATGGGCCCAGAGGGGGGGCCTTTCATGTCTACCTATGGGGTGGGAGGGGACGGTCTGACCGTCCGGAAACAGTTTCCAGGCAAAGAGATCCAAAATGTCAACAAGCGCGCTCTGCCTGCCGGCGGGCGGACGAGCAGGCAAACCACCCGCAAGGCGAACGACAAAGCGAACAGATGACGATGGGGGCTCCAACCGGGCTCCGCGCTTGTCGAGCTCCCGGGCGCCAAAACCGCCCACCACGGCTCCGTAGGCTGGCTAGCAGGAGGGGCGGTGGCAGCCAACCAACGGGCGACGGGCAGGAAGCGCCGTGGCAGCACCCCTCCCAGGAGCTCCCGTTCGTGAAGCCATAGGCCTGCCTCTTGCAAAGGGGGGCCTGAGCACGCTACTGCACAGCATGTGTTGGCTGTCACCTCCACCTTGTTTGTGGTTGGTGTGGGTGGGCTGCGCTGGCTCTGGCCGCCCACAGAGACACCGCGGCGGCTACAACCGCCAACGGCTCGCCATTGGGGCAGCCGGGGGGCCAATCAGCACGCGGCCCGGCGCCCGAGCTCAGGGTCCTGCCCCCTGCCAGTGCCCGCTAGTGGCCGACCTCAGGTGCTAGTGCGCTGCCATCAGCGCCCAAGAGTCAACCTTGAATGTAGGACGGCCGCCGTACCGACACCTGCCCACCTGAAGTTCTCCCAGACGGGTGATGACGCGGGGCAGCAGAGACCATCATCAGCCCAATCGTCTGCCATAGGCCAGCCCAGCTCGAGATGGAGGCTCCATCCGTCATTTCAGGTGCAGCCGTAATTACAGCCTCTACCTTGGTAATTTGCTTGATTATTATGATTATTATTATTGCATTGCACATTAGTCCTGTCTTACGCTACACACCTCCCACGCATAGCATTGATTGCATGGCTCAACACCGCGAAACCTCTCGTGATGATTGGCGAGCGCCGTGTCTACAGATCAGCATGCCGTAAGTGTGCAGACATGTAAACAATGCTCACCCCTAATTACCGCCCAACCTCCTTCGCCTCCGTGCTCTCATAACACACATACGCCATACCGAGTACACACACACACACTCACATTCATGGTCACACTACTCCCCACAATCAAGGACATCATACACAACACGTACACAGCGCCCGGAACGGTAAACTGGAAGCAAAGGGCAACCAAGCTTGCTTGGCCAATCGGCCCCGTCATCATATTTATGATTCCCTAGTGTCCCTAAAAACGCCATTGCGCCTAGCCGGTGTGCCTGCCACACTCGGCCCGCAGTTAGTAGATATTCGGCAATCCCGAAACAATCCAGCAAGCAAACAGCTGTAATCCTTCTATAACAATTCCCGTATTCTCAATACATTCATAGCCGTACCTGTCTCCTGTTTTTTTAATTTGGTGGAGCATGGACCAAAAGAAGAGGAAGAAAAGCCAAAGGTAAGAAATCCTCGGAGGAAACCACTTAAAAACGTAGGCAGGAAAGTAGAACTCAAACGCCTCGGTACCAGGTCAGTGCCAATCAAACCATGCTGTCAAATCTGGACATATTCCTCTTCTGCGGGCTCATAATTTTTTATTTCTCATAAAACGTCGTGACCATTGTCATGCCATATGCGTTTCGTTCAGGTCATGCATGACCTGCATGCTCATATCTGCAATGCCATCCATTGGCTCTGACGAGCCACAAGATCCTTCCCACTCTGTTCGTCAGTTAGCTCCGGCTCCTGCGGTCTATCCCTGCATTGGGCCCGGGTTGACTTGGGCGGCTGAGAAACCTACCAGACCCGTCTTCCTCCAACTCTTCCACAATTTGCCTCCAGAGAGAATCCATCACCTCTGTCGTTCACTCGAATTAGCGTCGTACAACTCATCTTTCTCAGATAAACTCACCTTCCCTTGCAAGGGTGAATTCGACAGCGAGCGTCTCCATTGCCGGATCAGGTCTCTCAAATGCCAATGCACAGTTGGCCACTACTCTCCCAACATCGGCCGCTTGTTCTCGAGTGATACCTGTTCGTCTCCGGACATAGACTTCTCGCAAGAAGGCAAGGCATGCCATTCCTAGCCGCTGTGTTGTTTGAATAACCAGATCAGTTGGCTTCCCCTCGTCATCCTCTTCATCCACATCCTGAACGTCAAAATGTCTAAATAACTCCAGCTCAAGAATCTCCATTATCTTGGCTCTCACGTGAGCCGTAGGGTGAACCAATAACCCAGGGGCCCATTCGGGGCCCAGACTGAGGCAGTGGTCATGCATCTGGATCATCTCAGTCACTTCCGCTCGATAGACTTCAAGTACCATCCTAAAAAATGACAGGAGTGGCGCGCCTTCCGCGAAATGCATTCGCTTAGCCTGGCTCGCAACAAAAGCTACATGTTGCTCCGCGCGCAGCTGTGAATGGGTACTCTCAACATATCGTAGTGATGCTCGTAGGTAGGGCTCGATCGGATGCTGTGGGTCATCCCGGCGTAAACAATTCCTTAATGTTTGCGCTATCGCTCCGTCCATGTGCTCGGCGCTCTTCGTCAGTTGAATTATGATGTTATCCGTGATGGAATGCATTTGATCTATGGCCAACAGCTTCTCAACAAAGAACGAAGCGTTTCGCTTCTCTGGGTGTTGGTGAAGAAATGAAACCTCCGAGGACGTCCAAGGGAATGGAGCGCTTGTCATATCCAACCGATCGTAAGGAGATTCCACAATGGTATCTACACTCATTATCGGCTCAAGGCATTGCAACAGGTGGCCGATCAATGCAATGACGGCGCTATAGGGCGGGGGCCGGGTACTAACTCGGCGCAGTATATTGTTCAACATCCGGGAATAGTTGGCGGGTATTTCCAGTGAGGCGTCTGGCGCAATGATCATGAGAAGTTTCAGGAGAAAGTCTTCGGCGAGAAGGTGAGCTGTTTCCCGGTGCCCCAATTGGGCAAAACGAAGCATAGTCTGAAAATGATCGTCCCAGGCCCGAATATGGATTTGAAAGAATCCCCAGAGGTACTTGAATATCTCCATAGAGCCTTCTATCACTGAAACTCCGGGTCCGTTCGTCGTGCTGCTGCGGCGACTAAGTGCCTTATCAACCTCTTCCACAGAATCATGTTCGTCCTCTGATTTACTGTCGAGCGCGGGATAGTAATAATTGGGGAATCCCTCGGATATTTTCTTCAATGAAGAGATGAAGAGCGTTCCTGTCATCTGACGAACACCCTGGTCAGGGTTACGCTGGATCAGAGACCGGAAGGATGCGGGCCTAATACGGTAGTACTCATAAAAAGATAAGGCGCAGCGGCGGCATGTCTCAATTGCTCCGGAAATTGCTCTGGAAAATCCTAGAAAGTCGGGTAGGTCTTTCTTGCGGGTAACGACTTGGTCGAAATGGCTGAGTAAAACCTCCATAGCCAGATCTTGAACTTTGTGGCCCGCCGCCCCTCCATCGAGACAGTCCTGGTCCGAACCATAAAGCGTGTTCTCAGCCTTCGTCTCGTTTCCAAGCAGTCTTGCCTGCTTGAAGCATTTCTCGGCCAACTCCGCATGGCTAGGATCGAACAGACAGTGCCGCCGGAGATAAACCGTATTTTCATCCAGGATATACTCCTTCTGTTGCGCATCCGAACCAAGGCGTAGCGGTAAGGGAACTTCTTGCCCCAGCATTTCTTCCTGCTTCCTCAAGGAAGAGGCTCGTTCGTAGAATAGCATGTATGCACTGTAGGACTTGTCGTACACAGCACCGCCAGTCTCCAATGTGGATCGCTGATCCGGACCCCCAAACGTCGACGCCTCCATCATGGCTGGGTCCCAAGGGGTCACAGTGTCGTCGTTGAATTCAACCCAGCTGGCCCGTCCTGGTCGTGAAGGCCTTTCGCGAATGTAGGAGTAGTAGTGACCCGATTCGGCCGTGCCAGCGTGAACCAGAACTCCAACAAGCTCGAAAATGTCTTCTTCCTTGCTTGCTGGCCCGTCCGGATCACTCAGATAGTCGACAGTGTAGGGTTTCAGGTCAATTCGGGGAGGAAAGGAGAAATGGTCGTTAATTTTGTTCCGCTGTAGAGTTCGCAAATTAAAGTCGAACCGCTTCAGATGGAAAATCATGTTGTCGGGGAGGTCCTTGAGGCAGGCTCTGGTCATAGTTAGCCAAAATTGCGCCGCAACGCTGGCAGCCGTCCAGTTAAACTCACCGTTTGACAGCATCGACGTGGCGGTCACATGTCGAGCATTTATATTTGTTATCTGGGATTTGGTTAATCGAGCACTCAATTATCGTCAAGAATAGGCTTGGGCGAAGTACTTACCCCCTTCAAGGACTTCGCCATCTACATAGGCCTGCAGGCTTTCTTGCAGGCTATGTTTTCCTTTTATGTCACACTGGATAGCTGAAAAGGTATCAAGACGCTCCGAGATGTGCTGGCATTCCTTGGACTTGATCTGTTGGACCAGTCTCCCTCCATAAAACGATCGCAGCTCCTTTCTCTCTAGGGGAGACAAGAGCTGACCTTCAAATCGATCGAATAGAAGGTTGTAGAATTCATCCACATCCATTTGATTATGAATATCGATCAGAGAATCATCATAGTTCTTGATAGAGCTGACAAGGTCGGCAGGGTCAACAAACCGACGGTAACTTTCTTGCATGAAGCCGAAAACCTTCTTCGCAAAATGGAGCAGCTGTTGGGAGCCTTCCGCATCTCGCACCTGGGTAGTCAGTAGAAAACGACGGAAACCCGTATTCATATAAAGCTGAGTGAGCAACGAGTTGAGGTAGCATGTGTTTGAAAGATTCCTCAATCCAACGTAGCCACATGGGGCCCTTACCGCTCTTGAGCGATCGAAGCTGGGAGGCGTGTCATATAGATATGGTTCATCATCATCAGTGGCGAAGAAGGGCAGAACAGTGTTCATGCTCTTCAGAAGAGTGACGAATTCTTCCCTGTTATCTCTCGCCAACCTGAAGACGATCTCGCATAATTGTTTGCGTGTGTCGATGTTTAAGATGACTTTCGGGACAGGTTCTAAGGCCACCGACCGTGTGTGAGGGAAGAGATGCTTCCAGAACAGGCCATCTGCTAGTTCTCGAAATTTGAGAGAGTCAGATATCTTGACGTCAGCCTGTAAACTTCCCGACAGGAACAAGGCAAGGCCTTTCGCCACAGGGTCGAAGGGGTCCGTCTGGTCGATATCTTCAGTTGATGTATGCTCCAACAACAGATGCCCGGCCTCTACAGCTACATCAGATAATCCATCCAATGCGCGATTATGCATAGCCGCATGGCGGAGGATCAAATTTGAGACCTGGAATACCTCATGACACTGGTCTGGATGGATTGTGGCTTGACGAAGAACTTTCGACAAAGCTTGCCAAAAGAAGTCGGCCACTCCAAAACCAGTATTGTGCATGGCTGCAAGAGATAGCTCCTGGTTGAGATAATCGACCACAATCTTTGCAACAGTTGCGCGTATTTGCTTCCTTTCGTCATAGAGGAGGAGCATGCGAACTACCTCAAGGAACGAAGAATCCGAAATGAGTTGACTCCAAAAGCCCTCGTTGAGGACGCCGAGTTGCAGAAGAACCTGGAACGTGTAGATGACAAGATCTCGGCTCATGTAGTCCCTCGAGTTGGCGCCACCAATCAAGAGCTTGATTAAACTCTGCGGGGATGGTAGCTCAGAAAGAGATGGGATTGTCGAGGATGAGGGATCAGGCTTCTCTGTAGGCACTGCTATTTCCAGGAACCATTGAGCCAGTACATTCATCGCAGCACTAGCAATCTCCATTTGAAGAGGCTCCGCATAGTGGGCGAGAATGTCTGAAGAAAGAACGGCCTCAACGATAAGGCGAACAGATCTCTTGCGGGCTTCCTCGTAGGAGTTCCGAGGAAAATCATGCAAGCTTGGCAAGTGCCCAGGAGGTTGGTTTGACCGTTGAGCAAGCGTCTTGTACTTCAGCAAAGTATACATCGCGTAGAGTGTCCGAAAAGGCTGCTGGGGGGGGAATATGTCAGCCTGGGAAATTGAATCATCTTCAATTCTTTCCATGGTACGAGTGTCGGCAGGGAGGTTTATCAAAAAATCAAGAATCTCGCGGGCTAGCTTATCCTCCAACGTAAGGCATTCCCACATTTCTTCAAAGTGGCCCATGATCTCAATTTGCAAGGGAGAAGAGCCAGGTTGGATCTTAACAGAACCGCCAGTGTCTTCTTCTTTTTCGCGTTTGACAAGGATTAAACCTTCGTGAATTTGCAAGTCCTCCAATGACTTGCAAACTTGCCGTTCGTCAGGGAGAAAGGGCTGGCCTCGGTAATATGCCTTGTACTTCTGGAACCCCGTCTCTTCCCTGATGCTGGCCAGGAGGGAGGCGGCAGTATTTCGCCGCCCGATATTCAATGGCCTAACCTCAGTATGTTGCGCGCCATCAAAAGACTGATACTTGAGCTGGGCCAAATCACCTTCGATCTCTGAGGGCTTGAATGACATGAGAGACCTTAGATCTGGTGCTGCAAGATGTGGCTTCGATTGGTACACATTGTGGAAATACCGAAGCAATTGCAACGACCGAGTGAATATGCGCTCTTGCTCGTGAAGTTTCTCCTCACTAACAACAATAACCATAGACTCTTCGTCACCGCTCGAACTGCCCTCCGTGTATGATTTGATCTGTCTGGTGGCGTCTCTCATCTGGCTGAAGCATCGAGTCACAAGAGCTGAATGAACCTGCCTTGTTCGATCTGACGCGTAGGTAGAGAGCAAGGCGTTTTGCAGGTACACCTCCACAGCAAGAATTTCGATGGCCTTTTGGACCAAGCTTTGATTATCGGCCGTAAGAATTATTCTCCATAGCTGGCCCAAGCAACTTGCGGAAACGCTGGCATCATCGTCAAGTTGGAAGTCTCGACCCACATCGACCAGGTCTAATGCTTCTTCCTTGACGAATTCCAAGAGGCCTGCGCAAAAACATTCCGGGGGGAGGGAAGGTAAATACTCCACCAGACATGTCTGTATAAAGGGGTTTGGAGTCGCGGACTTTCTGACAACGTCATTGAGAACACCCCATCCGGCTTCTCTATCTCCCTGACATAATGACAAAGGCCCGACCAGAAGATCCCACAGTTTCTTTCCGGTCTCTCCATCAATGGAAGATGGCTCATATAATATAATGCTGGTGACAAAATCACACCTTGGCTGGTTGATATTTCCGCAGAGCACTGCCGGTATATTCATCTCCTTACCAGTCGCAACAGCATGCTCAAGTTCCTCAACGATGAGTCGGATCAAGTCATGCTCCTGTGTCAGTACTTGAATCTCGCGAGAAATTATTGGTCGAATCGCCATTGAAAGGCACCACAGGCTACCCAGACTTGTTCGCGACTTTTGTGACACATCCTCAAGGCAGGTCATATACAAGTGCTCACGGCCATCTTGGTCAGGCCCATGGTTCAGCAATTCTCTGAATTTTTGCATAGCCAAGAGTTGCAGTTCGGGGGAAGCAACCTGTGAGCCATGGGAGCAGGCCGAGGATTCTCTGAGGAGGCGCACACAGAGTTCGTAAGGCCAATATTCCAACGTTCTATTCTCAGCTTGGGCTTTCTGGCACATCTGGCGGAGGAGCACTTCCCAAAGGTTGCGGATGGGGGGTGTGAAGGATTCTATGGGAAGGTGGCAGAACTTTTCGCAGAATTCCAGCATGGTTTGGTTTTCAAATAGATTCATAATGGTAGTAACCAAGCGAGCCAAGGCCTCGGAAACGCGAGGATCCGGGCTGGAAGTAACGCCTTGCCACAACCGATCAGTATGGCCCTTATGATAAATCTTGGTAACGACTAAAAACCCAACTATGTTGGAGCTTTCAACGATAATCTCAGGATGGCAATTTGGTCCAATTATGTATTCGATAATCTGGCTCCGGAGAAGGTATGTGCCTAGATGCTTAAGCAAAGGGTTCTCAGGGTGCTCTCCCAGTCGTCGCCATAAGCTAACAAGCTCGGTACACATTGTCGTAGCGGCAAGGACGCGTAGCTGCATCTGGCTCGAGCGTATCAACTTTCCAAGAACATCAAACCGCCATTCGAATGACACTGCTTCCGGGACAGATGCGCTAGGGAGGTAGCCGTGATCACTTTGGTGCTGGGCGTGGATATCCTCAGCTTGGCGATGGTTGCCTTGCATACAAACCTTGAGGAGTTCAGCCAAGCTTGATATCATGCAGGAGACTCCATCTGTTGTTAATTGTGTGACTTTTTTTTCAAATAGATGTTCCAGACAAGCTGACGCCGTCAAAAAAAGCCGATGTTCGGTACCCAGATCTCTGAGACGTCGACCAGCCCCGTTGGATTGAGGGATCGGAAGACAAAACCCCAGCTGTGCTACACAAAAAACCATCTCCGTCACATAGGCAAGGTGGACGAGAAGTTTCGGGAACGATGGTAAAGCTCCCACAAGCAGAGTCGCAAACTCATCAAGGCGACCAAGGCTGCCATTCAGGGCGGAATCGAACTTTTTAACAAGTGATGCCTTGTCATCAGACACTCCAAGAGTGATTCCGGAGATTTCAAAACATTCATCGTCGTATAACAAGTTGTCTCGCCGAGTTAATAAGTGCAGGTGGTGAAGAAAGACCCCGGAGAATAGCTCGGGTGGGCTTTCACCAGAAACCATCTGCCCAGGGCTACTGTGAAGGAGAGATATATCAATATCAACAAGAATTGCAGTGAGTTGAACGAAATCCATTTGGAAGTCGAAAATAAGCTCACGCAAGTCCGGATCCTCGTTAGGAGAAGGCCTGTAGCCGTCAGCATTTGATTCGTTACCAGGACAGGCGGTCACAAACACATACTTTCGTTCACGGACAGCAGTGATTATCTCTGGGAATGCCAACCACATATTACGGTTGTTTCTGAGGGACGCGACGAGCCGGTTGCGATCCGCATTTTTTGCGAAGGTTAAGAATTGAGCGAACCAACGCTGCAAACTACCAATGACGTTTTCATCTGTCGATGTGCCTAGAAATTGATCAATATTGGGGTGGGCAGGATTTGAAGTAGCATAAGTTGAGCTCACTGGTAGCTATATAATGGACCAACCGCTGTATTGTTTCGTAACGATATTCCTGCGCATCATGATAAGGGAACTGGTCGGTCGGATCAATGGCAATTGTGGTTTGCCCTATTACTGTGACTTCATCGATAGATCTTCCAGCGAGTAAATCATCTTCGGCGTCTGGGATTTGAACAAGCTCCATGGGCGGACTCGCTGACTTCGAAGAGCTTGACTTGGCGGGACCCGGGGAGTCATCCCCTTCATGGCCAACAACATCTTTCGAGTATAAAATCGGATTCGAGGGCGAGGGTAGTATATTATGGTCTTGCTCTTGTGGGGGACTCCGAAGGTTTATTGTTACTTTGCTCGAGGTCGGCTCGCTGGTTGATGACGGCAGGGAAGGGGGGTCGGGTTGCTGACTGGACATGGTTGAGTTGACCGTTTCCCCGTCAAGATTCATTAGGTTGCTAGTAGCTTCGTGATCGCCATCAAGCGTCGCGCTGTTACCGGAGCTGGCGTTGTCGAGCTCTGCATCGGTGCCATCTACCGACCTCGAGGGTGATCCCGACTGTGAGGTCCGTCGTCGCTTGCGAGAAGCAATGTCGCTATCATCAAAAGGGTTGGGTCGAGTTGAACTGGGTTCAGAGGATCCGGCGCGCTGTAGCGGGTCTGGAGAGTCCCCTGCCTGGTCCATCTGTTCGTGCAAGGTGTAGAAACGCGATGCCGAAAATATCAAGGACGTCGAGGCGTCACAGTGGCCGGCCTAGCGGCAGCTGTAAGAAATTAACATGTGTAACAAACGTGAAGATGCCCGTAACATGCAGCCAGGTGTGGTCAAGTGAGCTTGAGCTCTTGGACCCGTCTTACGCCATGCAGGGGGGAGGAAAATGGCGATTCCAGAGGGGAGTAAATCAATCAGAGCTACTTGCTAAAGTGAAGCTCCGAGGCAGATACGACGACTGTTGCTTTGTGCAAGCAATTGCTGATGGGGGATTGGGGCACGGGTTGCTGCCTGTGGGACCCCGCGAGCGAGGGGTAGCTGTAGTGCGAGAGGGGGCGATCACTGGAGAGCTTGGGAAGGCTGAGCTGCTGGCTCATCGCTAACGCGTAAAGTAGGTGCCCAGGGTACAGCTAAGTTAGTACCGGAGCTCCCAGCAAAAGGTCTAGTGCCTGTCCCGAGACGAGATGATGAAATGGGCAAGGTAGGGGTGTGACGGCGCCTTGCGCCAGCTCTGTGGTCGGGTATGGACGAGATAAAATGGACGGTGCCGCTTCATGATAAATGCAAGGAAACATTTTGCAGGTCGACTTACAATTACTCGGACGAAACCTTCGCTAATCGGACTCAGCCCCCTCTTCTCCCTTTCTCCGCTCGGGGCTGCGACTTGCTCGCTGTATGTGGTAACAACCTTGCTACCCTAGCTCTAGTGGTGCGAATTCCTATCACCAAGGAGGAGGGCAAAAGAAGGGTGAAGATGAGGGTGGAGGAGGGCGTTGGGAAACGATAGCTTTGTGCTTGCAGCGTCCTTGGCCAGTCACTTGGCTACGAGCCCGTAGGAAATGTGCCCTGGAATCCAATGTGTCTAGTGCTGTTGTCAGCTAGAAGTCTTCAAGGAATCTCCAGCAGCCTCACTGCGGCATGATGGGACTTCTGTTGGTAATGATGTGGAAAAGTCGAGGCTGCGGAAGCTGTCCTGCCAACTGTACCACGAGAAAATGCCCCAGGCGAAGGACTGGCTCCCAGTTACGGCTTCACAGGCAGGTTTTTGACCAGCGGGAAGTGAAGCACACGGGACGAGTGCTTCACTAAGCAGGAAAGTGATGAAATACGAAAAAAAAAAATACATTTTACTGACCATTTCCTGACCTCGAATCAGAGCCAGCCTTGGGTGAAGAGGAAACGAGTAGAGTAGAGGACGACGCGTGGGGTGCGCCAAGAGCGGGGAGGGGTGTAGACGCAGCAATAATTACATCAATGGTGCACTGAGCTCGGCAGAACCACCATCTACCACCTCCAAGGATGGCCGTGATTTTATACAAATCAGAGCTATTCGGCAGATCAGTTTTAGAAAAAAATGGCACGCGTACAATCAATGGCAAAATACCTAAGGCGTCTCCAACCTCATTGGCGAGGCGGTAGATTCGCAAGTTTGGGCATGCAGGAAGAGATCTGGAGGAGCAAAAGGCAGCCAATGGAGTGGCTGCTTGAGATCTGACAAATCCTAAGACTTGGCCAACAGACACACACGGAGCAAACCTGAACCTTTGTAGCTACCTAAGTAATAAACTGCTGGCTCTCGGATGTTACCCAGTAGCCCGCCAGCTGGCTGCTGCCTGGAGTCACCGTAGCCAGTGACACACCCGATGTCGCTCCAGATCCCTGGCAAGCCAACAAAAATCCGGTCGCGTTGTTCTGCATTTGAGTATCCAGGATCTGATCTTCCCTCATTCCAAAGTCCATTCACCTATTATCCAACCAGTTGAGTTCAGAGCAGAAAGGGAAAATATTCTAAGTACTTCTACGAGCCCTGAGAACAACATCAATCAATGTGATTTATTTACCTTAGGTGGCAAATCTAAATAAGCCTTTTTATTGCGTCCCTCTTAGCTTGGCTACTGAATTCGAGATGTGGTGATTTTTTCATGTAATCTAATTAATTCTATTCCAATAGTCAAACAGTACGTTGGTTCCCAGAGAGAAGCTTGGCTGCTGCTCTGACAGGTTATTTGATGTGCTTGGAAAACCATTTCTGCATAGGGCTTCGTTGAATTAATTAGTTCAGATTTCATACAGAGACTGAAGTAGTTGGCGATAGCAAGGTGGGACGATTGCAGGTATAACTCTCTGGGTACGTCATTGCTCTGCATTGTGCTTTGCGTTTCTTCTGTTCGTCCTAGTTTTACTGTGCCAGCTTTGAACTTTTATCCCAGCCGTACAAAGTATTAGCTGTCCCTAAAAAATTATTAGCATAAGAAGGTACCCATTATGCTTACAGCTCTCATGAGGAAGATCTTATCCAGCCTATAAAAATACTAAGCCAAATCCAAAGCGCAGGCAGGGAGGCTCGGTCCGTGGTTTGGGCCACCCAGACGGCTGGAATAAAAATACGTTACCCACAGAATGGCATTCTTAGCATACATTGTCTAGCTCGTGGCACAGCTATTTAAAAACATGGCGCCAGCAGAGTTTGCGTTAAAGGTGAGAAATATCAAGTGACGCAGTAAAATGCATCTCACTAACTGGCCGGGGGAACGCTAAGAGTATATACCTGTACTAACTCAGGGACAAGCCTACTACCTAGAGCCCTCGGATCAAATGGTTGCCATTGAAGTGTCCCATGAATGTATGTTCCGACAACTACCCACGTTACCTATCGAAACAAATGCCCCGGTTCAGCCAAAGTGCCAAGGCGAGGCAAAAACATTTTCTATCATATTCCAATCATCATGGCTGTCTTTGCCCATCAAAAAATACTGGTCTCATTAACGCAGGCCAAAAATATGTTTACCCAGGTAGGTAGTGCTAGCATCCCCACATCCCGCTGGGGCATGTTCCCTGCGAGTAGGTGCCTACCTAATTTTAGGTGCTAAGGCTATGATGACGCAAGGCCTTCACTCAAAGTTGGGCTTCGATTGGGAGGAATGGCAACAGCGTGGGGTGTGGGCTCGAGGAATAGATCGAGATCTAATTAGAGTAAAGCATTATCTACTGGCACAGACACAGACATCTTTTATTTTCTATTTATGCCCCAAATCATACATGAACACATCATCTGAACACGACGTGATTCCACTGTAGGGTAGTATCTACCAGGTAGGTAGGCTCAAGCTAGGAAAGAGGCCCACTTTACGACGGCGAAAAATCCCCTACGCAGACACCCGTCGACAAAGTTGACTCGCATCGATCGCCCATTGCATTTTCACCTGTAACCCCGGGACTGGAGAGCTATATTGAACAAGAGTAAGAGAAATTAGGTCAAAATGGGTCCCTCTTCGCAGACCAATGTTGCCAATGTTCGGAAAAGAACCATTTATCAGCTTGATACTCCGTTCTCGACTGTCAGCTGGTACTGTTCCTCCCTCCATCAAAGCTCCACACTTTGGCCCTGCTGACCTTTCAACGTAAAGGCCGGACATATCTTTAGAAGACCAAGAGAGTATCTTAGAGCTTCTCTGCAGGTAAGAGCTTGATTAATGGACATAACATAAAGGGAAGAGAGAAGGCTGATTTCTTGACACCAACACTTTCTAGTCTACTGTCATCCTTGGGACAGCATCGGCGTGACCACGTCAAACCCTCCAAAGGGAAGCGAGTAGCCAAACGGGAAAAAGTTACAGCGGACCAAAAAGACTTAGCCAAAGACCAACCCATACCTCAGGCACCAGAACTAGGACTTAAAGTAGACATTGGATTCAATGTGATTACTAGAAATCTTGAGGGGATATCAAGAGGCGAAAGCGGGCACACTGAAAATGCCGACGGCGATGTTGACTTGCAAACGAATGAGACCGTATACTCAATGGTCTTCGTCGCCCGAGGAGATCAGTCGTCGGCCTTTAATTGCCAGTTTCCGAGAATGGTGGCTGCGGCGACAAAGGAGCTCCCTCCCGACTCTCAGACACGACTCGTTGGATTTTCCAAGTCTTGCTCGGAGCGTCTGAGCAAGTCTCTTCATATTCCCCGTGTCTCATCCATCGCAATAAAGCGCGATGCGCCTGGATGCAAAGCCCTTTGGGACTTCGTCAGAGAAAAGGTCCCTCCTGTTGATGCGGCTTGGCTTGGCAAGCCACAGGATCAAACATCATATTTTCCTACGCGAATCAATTCCATAGAAACGACCGTGGGACAAAAGAAGGCAAGAAAAACTTGAACAAATATAGCCTAATATAGTACATGTTTGCATATGATGGTTGGACCTGCAACTGTTTAGAGGCTTCTTCTAGAGGCAGTCCTTGGCTTGTAAATGGACACCTGCGCGTGTGCTGACGACTCCGATCGAGAGGAACCTCCTGATGGGTATGTACCTGTCTGGAAGAGCTACTAGGGATGCCCAGCATATTTCTGCTTGTTTGCTGTTCGACCCTAACTCTTCAGCTTGTTTAGTTGTGTTGCAAATACTGGCAGTCTGGTCAAACTGGCAGATGCAAACCTGATGAATACAATGTACACGGAGCACCGACGCTCATTGGGCTATGTATCTACAAACTTGAGAGCGTTTTGTTTCAGAGTGACGGGACAGCTCAGGTTCTACAAGCTCAATTTGGCAATCAGCGGCATTCCTGCCACTGATGTAGGTATGACATGCCCAAGAAGATGCTGTCTTCCTCGATTCTTCAATTTCGCGGCAGTTTGAATTCTAGTAGGAATGTAATTCTAGCAATGTTTCTTGTATCTGGAGGCTTTGCCTGTTACAGCGTTCGTAGACCAGAGGCTTCTGCGGATCCCGAATTGCCCACATAAAGACTATCCCTGTTCAGCAGAGCGCCACCACAGCGAGTAGAACGAGTAAATTGGCCAAGATATCAGTTAACAGATAGATACATAAGACATGATGCAAGTATACTCGATTTGTTGGCTTATTGCTGCTGCTTGGACGAAGAAGTAGGTGCCCGTCCATGCCTCCTCCCGTCTACGACCCTCCCGTCTTTGGTGGCTGCCTTGCAAGTTAGTGCTCCGTTTCAGCTAAGAATCTCTTGTTTAGGGAGCTCAACAGAATCTGTAGCATCCAGGTTGGCATGTCATACGCGATTGATGGATGCCTTAGGTGTCCATGCAGAATCTCGTTCGTACCTTCCGTTCACTCCCGGCGCCCTCCCACCCATTTACTCAACTGTTTACTCTTGATACATGTAAACAAACGGTTCACCCCACGCACTCAAATTTGCACTGAAATACCTAATTCTCGTGAGTCGGATTCTTATTCATTGCATGCCCCATCGACTGATCAGCAGAAACGTCTCGCAAGATCTTCCCTTGGGGCTTCTTTGGCTTCATTATCAGTGGTCGTCGACGCTTTTCTCAGAACAACCTCAGAACACCTACCTCTAGTGAGAGATTCCGAGCAATAGTTCTGCATCGTTCCTTCTTCCTGACATTGTAATTTGTCGAGCAGAGCCGTAAGTTTTTTCCCAACTCGATGTCGGAGGACCTCGAAAGCTTCTAGGAACTGTTTCCGCATCGTTCTCGATTTCTGCCCCAAAGCAAGATTAACGTGACAGTAGACATCAATATCATACCTGGAAAGACTGGCCTGAAATGAATGCTGGATTTGGTGACAAGGACAAGCTCCGAGATGCTTTGGAGCTTGCCAAGTCTTTCAGAAAGGGAGGAAAGGGTAGTGACGGCCCGCCGCCCCCAAGAATGAGTAGCAGCACGTTTTCTCCGAGAGGTAGAACGTATCCTATGAGAGCCCTTCCCAAAGAACATTTTCTGACTAGGAATAGTTACTCTTCCGCCCGTGAAGCCTACCCCCCAACCAGCTGGAACCCCCTCGGTCCGAAACCGCAACTACTCTGGCCCAGGGAGCTTCTCAACACAATCTCCGAAGATGGTCCCTAGAAAGATTCCAGCTTTCGACAGTTCTGCCAAGGATTTCTTGTTGCGAAAAGATGTCCCGGAAAAACAAAACGTGAATGGTAAGACAATTTCTCCGGATGATGTTTGAAGATTTACTAATTACGAGTTATAGGCTCCGCCTCTAAGCCGCAGATGAAAGAGGAGCAGACTTCTGGCTCGGCCCCTCCCTCTACCCAAATTACGCAAGAGCGTTCAGCCCAGAAAGGGCAGATTCATGAAACTTCTGGAGGAAATCAAAATCTTGGATCTCAGTCACGCCAGTCTCCAGCTACTTCCAACCTCGCCGGTGGTGGAACAGGAACTTGCTCCAAGGATCCACCCAGTGTAAAGCATGAGAACCCAGGCCTTGCCTCGTTCTTGTCTTTTGCTCCTCCTGGGGTTTTCAGTACTGCCACGCCGGCTGCTAATCCCAACGAGGTGAAGAAATCAACTGCCAATAATGCTACAGGCACCCAGACACCTGCTCCCATGAAAGTGGCAGAGACCGCACGTCCCTCACGGGTGGAAGTTACTGGAAAAGCCCAGGTTTCTCAATTGACTCAGAAGAACCTCGAGACAGTGGCGCCTGGCAACCGTGGCCCGAAGGAAAATGGCCAGGTGGGCATAAATGGCAAATCACATCAGCCCGTTGGACTTGTTGATGGAAATCCAACTTCTGCATCGCAGACTAATAAAGCACCCGAGGCTCGAAGTGACAAGACTGCACCTACGCCACAAACGGTTCTCGAGCCAAAAGAAGCAAGCCAACCAACACCCACCGCCAAGCCAGCACCAAAGACATCTCCCAAGCCAACAGGACCCTCAGAGGGGACAAAACAACCAACACCTACTGTTAAACCGGCACTTAAGACTGCTCTCCAGCCAACAGGGCCCTCAGAGGGGACAAAAAAGCCAACACCTACTGTTGAGCCAGCACTCAAGACTGCTCCTGAGCCAAAAAAGCCCTCAGGGGAAGAAAATCAACCCAAAGTCATTGCTGAGACAGTCTTTAAACAAACTCACGAGCCTGTTGTTGCTTTGAAATCCTTGCCTAATGGTTATGTCAAAGAGCAGCCGCTTGATGATAAACCCTCTGAGAATTCGCCCCTCCGGCCCCAGGCTGAGGACTTCAGCCCCCATCCCGATCTTGTCCCTGTTCCTCACAACTCCCCTCAGCCCATGCTTGATTTCCACTCGCCCCGCCTCATGAGTCCTGTCAATGCCACTGCTATCAGCATGGACAATTTGCAGCGATTTATACCCACTGGTGTTACCACGGGGCAGCTAGTTACTACGACTCAGGTATCTATTCTCGGTGGCAAGATGACACCTGGAGAGAGTAGAGGCACTTTGTACATGCAGACTCCGGTCAGCATCCAGCATGGAACCCCTCAGCCTCAGGGTGGTTCTGTCCCTGCGACCCGAGCATCTTCACAAGAAGTTCGCTCTCATATCCAGTTGAAGCCTACACAGGGCCTTGCTTCATCTCGCTGGAACAAACAGTAGTTGAAAGGCTACAAGTCCTCTCAAACAGAAAGCTGTCTGGTGATTAGATGATGTTGCGAAAGTTGAGATGAAAGTAAAAGGGAAGGGACATGTGAAACTCAAAACTGCTAGTGATATTTTTGAGATGCTTGGGCAATATGGAAACTCAATAACTCTACGATATTGCACGAGTTGTCCAAGATTTAGCTCTGGACGGAAGACTTCAACGGCTTGATCTGCGTCGCCCAGAGAAGGGCTGCACTTGCCAGGGGAAACCTCTTTAATGTAAAATCCCATAGGATGAAAATTTTGGTGTTGGTGGAAGTATAGCGGTGCCATCCGCATTGCACTTCTTCAGCAGGTAGTCACAAGAAAATGAAACGAGGGTGATTAATTAGATCGTGTTGAATTTAAAATAGGTAGACTAGATAATTTCTACCCAGACATGCCCTTCTCAAGTAATTTGACGCCTTCCCTTACCTTGGGCGAATAGTGTTTCCTCAATAACTCGCCCTCCCAGACTGTGGCAGCAAAGGGGTTGCTTCCATCCACATCGATGCTCAGTGCGTTGTACTTCCCATCACCCTTTCTCTCTTCGGTGTTCCACAAACTATTGACCTTCTTGCTATGTGCATGTGCTACGTCACCTAACAAGGCTAGTACGCCCTGCGCAGACTTATCGGGAATATGCAGCAGCATGGTCATGAGCTGCTTGGTGAAGGCGGCCAAACGAACAGGGGGAACAGACCGGATGTTGTAGCTGGGGAGGAGAATGGCCGTGAGAGAACGGAGAAGAAGAACGGTTGTTGTCTGAACGTTGATTTTGTTGACGCTCTGAGAAACGACGGAGCGTTTCGTAAGCTCGATATCTGGATCAATGGAGAGGGAGAGGAGGGCATTGTATAGATGGCTGGTGAAGAAGGACAGATCCAGATGGAGTTGGTTGCGGGAGTTGTGGGCATCCTGGCCTGCGAGGAGCGCAAATGCCGTGACCGTGCAGAGGAGGGCTTCGCGGGTGAGGTTTCTCACCGCCGTCGTGTTGTCATCGTCGCCATCGTCGTCGGCCTCCTCCTCGTCCTGCTTGTTTTCCACCTCGTCGTTACCAGCCTCGAGATCGCCATCGCTGTACCGGATCAAATCCTTGAGAGCTTCCAGAAGATCACCGAAGAAGTCCTGATTGATGAGATGGGCGTACTTGGCCAGACCTTCCAGGACGGCACCCATCAGGTGCGGCATCCTGAACTTGAGGATGCGGAAGTAGCTTGCGAACACGAGTTTGAGGGTTTCGGACTGCATGCGTTCGCGCTCCTCGTGGTCGACGAGGGCATCTGCTTGGCTCATCTCTTTCTCGAGTTCCTTCTGCTTCTTGATATCCTTGCGCTCACGCTTGGTGCGGAACTCCCGCTTAGGCTTCTTTGTAGTTGTGGGGCGTTCGACGGCATCGTATGAGGCCTTGCCAGAGAATTCAGACAGCAAGCGAAGGCTGAGGAACAGATTCACAACGCTTTCATGGACCTGGAAATCACGGGCTTTCATCATCTTGGAGATCATTTCCATGGCTTCCATGGAAGCCCGCCCCTCTTCGTCGTCGCGGAACAGAGTGTCGAGTGTTTCGATGCACTTCTGTCCAGAGCTGTCGATATTCCTTCTGCTGATCTTGGCGACAATGATCTTCAACAAGTCTCCACGGAAGTTGAAGTGAGGCACCGACACCAATAACGTGCAGGCACATGTGATGGCCACATTGTTGAGATTTTTCATAGCCCCCGTGCTGTAGGGCAGCTTTGCGCATCTCGTCAGTTCCTTGAGGTAGCCCTGGTACCCCGTGAGAAGAGACTGCTCGTACTGCCGCAGCTGGCGGACCTCCTTGGACAGCTTCTCCTTTGACGACTCCTCCGAAAGCGGGCGTATGCGGTAGCCTGGGATGACGTCCTTATAGACCGCCATTTGGGTCATGAGGGTGAGAATCTGTATTGCGACGATCTTGGACTGGCCGATCCGGGCCAAGGCTTTAAAGGCGCCGACGTTGTCCTCGGGATTCTCATTGACGGCGGTGGCAAGCTTGGCCAATTCCTCCTGAGCTTCCAAGATCTGCTCCTGCTCTGACTTTTCCGGTTCTGCTTCCCCCTCAGCCTCTTCGGGCTGGGACTCGGGCTCGTCTTCCTCTCGCCCCTCCAGCCACTCGGTGTCGCTCTCAACCGAAACGTCGTCGTCGTCCTCTTCAATCCCGCTCAGGAGCTCCAGGCGTCCGTCGGCAGTCTTGATGGGGAGTCTTGTACTGGGCTTTTTTTCATTGTTCTTCTTTCCTTTTCTTGGCCGCGACTCGTAGTCCTGTTCAAGATTCCAGCTGGCTGCGTTCTTGAAAAAGGCTTTCTGCACTTGTTTTGAGGGTGCTGATGAGTCCTGGGAGGGGGACTCATGAGAGAGCTTTCTCCGCTTGGAGCCGCCGGATGCCATTTTCAGCAATTCGACTCTCTAGTACTCCTCTTGTGATCACCGAATGTTGGATCTACCGCAAGGACAGTCGCAAGACGACGCTGATGAAAAAAGGTTGGCGATAAGATTAGGAGGTCCGTTGGCCAATGAGAGTGGCGGATTCTTACCTCACCGCCAAAATTTTAGGACTTTTCTGCCGCTGTCAAGGTTACTAAACTTTTTTTTCTTCGATACGCAGACTGCCCCTCCAGCATTGTTAGCTACAAGCTACGTGGTCGTCTTTCTCTACATCAATTCCTTTCACGCCAATTGAATTCACACTCCGGTTTTCTGTGGCTGATTCAGCCGGTCTACAAGATGGGGTTCTCTAAACCCCCAACGCAGGCTCTCAAGTCTGTTAACAAGATGAAGAGAAAGGATATGTTTATCCAGCATAAAAAGTTTGCCGGTAAGGAGCGCCGCGAAGCTCGCCATCAGCGCAGGAAGGAGGAGAGCCGGGACCCGAGTTTGAAAGAAGAGCGTCTGGCGAAACGAAAAACCGTGACCCTTGACGAAAAACGTGTGTGGGACGAAGGCGACGATGATAGCCTGGGTGCTCAGGTGGACTTGGTGAGACTGAAGCGTCGACGGTTGGAAGAGGCCGAAGCCGAGGAACAGAGAGCTCTCGATGAAGAGATGAAGGATGATGAAGACGACGAGGAGAACGACAGTATGTTGGGCTCAGATGATGATGAGGAAGATGAGGAAAACGATAAGTTGCTGGAGCGGATACGAGAGAAAAGATCGCAAAGAGACAGCAGCATGGCCCCCTCCATGGCCAGCACGAATCTCGACCTCGCGCCCACCTCTCTTACTCTCAAGTTCCCGACACTGTTCTCCGACATCCCTCCGCCTCCGCCCAAGATCTTGTTGACAACATCCCTCAACTCTACACTCCACGACGAAGCGCGATTGCTTTGCACACTCTTCCCCAATACGTCGTATACCCCCCGATCCTCGCATCGATACGGACACAAGTATTCGCTCCGTGAGATTTGCAAGTTCGCTACAAATAGAGAGTACACCGCGGTTATTCTGCTGAGAGAGGACTCGAAGAAGCCCACTGGGCTGTCCATCGTTCATCTTCCTGTTGGGCCAACTTTCCACTTTACGATATCCAACTGGATAGAGGGAGCCAAGCTCCCTGGTCACGGAAACCCGACAAACCACTACCCGGAACTGCTTTTGACCAACTTCAAGACGCCTCTTGGTCTGCTGACAGCGAAGCTTTTCCAGTCCATGTTCCCGCCACAACCCGAATTCCAGGGTAGACAGGTGGTAACGCTGCACAATCAGCGAGACTACATTTTCGTGCGACGGCACCGGTACGTGTTCCGCGACAAGCGGCAGACGGAGAAGAGCATTGCAGGAGCAGACGGCAAGAACCTCAAGGGGGTGGAAAACATCCGAGCTGGCCTCCAGGAGCTGGGCCCTCGATTTACGTTGAAGCTGAGGAGAGTGGACAAGGGCATCGGACGTGCAGGCAGCGAGGGCGACGATGCGACCCAATGGGAGTGGAAGGCCAAGATGGAAAAGGACAGGAAGCGCTTCAACTTGTAATTAGACATTCATGTATGGCGTCGGCATGGCGTCGATTGGCAAACAATAAAACTGTTCTTCCGGCATTAGCTTGCGGCTGTTGATACCAATGGCTTGAGCGGAATGTGGCACGCTCGCAACCGGCTAGCTTCCACGCTCTATACGGCCTCCCATGCTAGCCAAGCAGGAACATTGATGGCTGGCTGATATTACCAGTTGCAAAAGGCGTGCATTTAGCCTGAATCTGACTGCTCAACGACACTACGGCCTCCTAGCCCCTATGACATGAATTGGCTGTGCAATTTTCGCGCAGTAAATGCCACTTCGCCGTAGCGCCGATCAAGCCCTGCTGCAGCCCTTTTTCAGAGGGGTATGGGGACCGTGGCGGGGCCGCGATGGCGGCGAATCACTATCTTATCCTGCTAGAATTTCACCACGCTATGGCCGTCGTCCGCTGCCTTGGAACATTGGCGGAGAGGCCAAATCCCCGCTATTAGATTGCGGAAACGAGAGTCATTTCAGCTCGTCTCGTTCTTCATTCTTTTGGTCGCCCGGGTCCCTGAGATCGCTGCCAAGCTCTATAAAATCTCCTCGTGGTGTTCTGCATCGGTCCATTAAGCACTCGTTTGAATCGCATTAGTTTCAGCATCATCAGCGCATCATCTCCGAGCGACAATTACTTGGTTCCCTTCGTTTTGCCTGTTTGTGAAGTTTTTTCTGGTTCTAGTCTTCGGGTGATTGTCAATTTGAGCACAAGTCACGTCACCGAAACCAGGGAGACCAGGGGTTGGCGACAGACCTACTTTTGGAGGGGGAGAAGGAGGAGAGATTTTGGTTCCAGGTCCAGTTCCAGATCCCGGTCCAGGTCTGGGAGGGTCACCACGCGGACAGTCAAGTCAGATCAGTTGTCGCATCGTTTCGCAGTTGCAATCGGCAGACACAATTCTCCCCGCGTGAACTGCTGCTCGCTGCTGGCATGTTCTGCTCAACCGTCTTGCAGGGATAGAAACGAATCGACTTTGCGCCTTCTCTCAATCGCTGCCTTTATAGGAACGGCGCTGAGCGCGCGCTCTCTCTGTTGGCGCTGTGGTGAACTCATCGCCACCAACCCATTAGTAATGACCGCATCAGACTGTATGTCACGACACTGGACAACTCTCTTCCTCCCTCACGCAGACCTCGTTTACTCATTCGCTTCCTCTGTTTTCCCCTCTTGGCAGGTAAAATGAACGGCAATGGCTGTCACCACCAGGATCCCGAAGTGTGGAAGAGAGCCCCGATACTGACGGGATCCACCAACTTCGAACCCCGTCCGGATGTCAAGAACATCATGGTCACCGGGGGTGCAGGGTTCATGTGAGTCAAGAGCCACCCGTCTGACACGCTGGAAACGGCCAAGACCTGCGGGAGTTGCTGCTAACCTGCGTCCGAAGAGCATGCTGGCTGGTACGGCATCTTGTGCTCAACTACTCCCAGGCGTACAACATAGTTTCCTTTGACAAGCTGGACTACTGCGCGGCTCTCAACAACACCAGGATCCTAGATAATGAACCCAACTTCTCGTTCTACAAGGGGGACATCACGCACCCGAACGAGGTGCTGGACTGCATGGAGCAGCACAACGTTGATACGGTGTTGCATTTTGCCGCGCAGTCTCATGTCGATCTGAGTTTTGGTAACTCGTATGGATTTACGCATACGAATGTCTATGGCACACACGTGCTGCTCGAGAGTGCCAAGAAGGTTGGCATCAAGCGTTTCATCCATATTTCGACGGATGAGGTGTACGGCGAGGTCAAGGAGGACGAGGATGACCTGCTCGAATCTAGCATCCTGGCACCCACCAACCCTTACGCAGCCAGTAAGGCGGCCGCCGAGATGCTGGTGCAGTCGTATCAGAAGAGCTTCAACTTACCCATCATCATTGTGCGGAGCAATAACGTCTACGGTCCTCATCAGTACCCTGAGAGTAAGCCGCATTCTGCCACTTGTTTCTTTGCCCTCTCCACATCTACACCCACACCCCGCGTTCTTGGGCTGGCAAGGCCCCTTTTCTGACTGATGTTGTTTAGAAATCATACCCAAGTTTACCTGCTTGCTGAATAGAGGCCAGCCTGTAGTACTCCATGGAGACGGCAGGCCAACCAGACGATACTTGTTCGCTGGCGACGCCGCGGATGCCTTCGATACTATCCTGCACAAGGGTCACATCGGCCAAATTTACAATGTGGGCTCCCACGACGAGGTGTCCAACCTGGACCTCTGCGGCATGATCCTGTCGGCCATGGCCATCGACCACGCAACGCCAGAGCAGTGGCGGCGGTGGGTCAAGTACACCCATGACCGACCCTACAACGATCGACGGTACGCCGTCGACGGGTCCAAGCTGAAGAAGCTCGGCTGGACGCAGAAGACCAACATCAAGGAGGGGCTCGCCATGACGGTCGAGTGGTACAGGGAGTTTGGGGAGTCGTGGTGGGGGGACATTGGGCACGTCCTGACGCCGTTCCCCGTCGTCAGCGAGGACGGGGAGGTGGTGCCCGACTTCGACCACCTGATCCGCGACGAGCCCCCGACCCCGCCCAGGGAAGCCTATGACGAGAATATGCAGCACCGGCCGGAGAATGGCCGCGGGAATGGGCACTGATCTCCCATCCTCTCTGGCGATCTATCGTTCCCGACGGTGCCGCCTTTGCGTAGCTCGCCAGGGGGGTGTCCCTTTTGTCGTCTCTTCGCTATATCGAAGAGTAACTGAATCTTTTGTTGTTGTTTATGTTCCATCACCCCCCCCCTTTATGGGGTTACAAACGAACAGGAGGTATAGAATCCTTCAGGGCGAGTGTTTAGAAGCGACGTGTTCACGGATCGGGCCGGGTGGTTTCATGGAGGGGGCCCGCGTGCGAATAGAAGTGCAGAGCGTGCATGTGAATTGCATACACTTCGCAACTCGGGGCTCTCTTTCCAGGGTTGTTTTTCTTTTTTACTTTTCTGATAGAATGGGGGATCTTTTTTTCTTCTTTACAACGTCATCCCACTTATACATGTTCCGTTTCGAGCCCATTCCTACGGAGAAAGCCGAAGAGGCATCCCAATTAGAGAAAGGAACGGCAGGGGGGAGTGACAGAGACGCATGTCTAGTGTGTATACTTTTACGTGACTGGCAGACCGGATTTTTCCCGCGCTGGGAGGAGGGGACCAAATATAGAGCACACATATAATTTTTTTTTTTTTTTTGTTTTGACATTCAAGGGTTAGGGTAGCATCGAATATTGTTTATCCGTACCCAATGACGTCTGAAGATCCCGGGGCGCGGTAGCGAACGGTCGGTGTCGACTGCGCCGATGCAAGGTGGTTTTGGTGATACTGCAGCTGGAGGGGGGCTTGCTCGACATGGCACAAGCGTCCTACTCCCTATGTAGCGTAGCACCCGGAGGGCGAGGCCGGCATGTTGCATTGCAGCAATCGGGGACGAAACCCACCCACCCTGGTCACCGGTCGCTGTCCACCAGGCAGCAGGAAAACAAGGGTTTGGGTGGTGGCATGGTTTTGCTCCGATCGCTGTCTCCTGGCCCTGGGCTTGGAGAAGCGCGGCGGCGTTAGTCGGGCTTCTAGCCTGGCTCCCCGGGATCGGAAGGGCCGCAAGGCAAATCTCTGCCATAAGACGTATAATTCGGACGTATACAGATGGAGAGATGGCGTGTAAGAGTTAGACGAAGAGAGGGAGAGGTAGAGGCTACGGATAGGATGGGCACAACTTGGCTGCAGAAGGATCCCCCCCAGATACGGGCTCCCTGCCCACACGTACCGTACGCAGCCACACTATTGTAGATAGATCGTGGTATTGGACTCCTTCTAACGCATGTCAATTAGGCGATGCCGAACGAAACGCTATGGCGACGGGAGGGAAAAAGAAACGGCATAGAACCCCAGCCGTTTCAATCAATGTCCACGTCGTCGGGATCTTAGTCTACCCCGAGGATATCGCAAGAAGGGATAATAGAGCAGAAAGAAAGGCTAAAGCACGTTTTGCAATGTAAGACATCCGAGGCATTGCGTACGACCTACCTAATCTGTCGAAGGGGTATCGTGATGAGAAGCCCAGCCAAAAGCAAACGTTCAAGGCCGTGTGTGTCTTTCAACCTTCCCTTCCAACTCGCCCTGCAGCGATGCTGCAGAGATACGGATGCAGACATGGCTGCAGCACGCAGACGCACCAATATGTACACGCACATGGAGGCGACTCCATCTGCACATACTAATTTTACCAGGGCCGTACGTTATCCAAGCCCAACAGTCGTTGAACATGTGGCACGGGTTTCGTGGCCGGATCCTTAACTAGAGGCACGGAGGGCAGAAGCGAGGCCGGCATCGTGCATGTCGTATAGCGACGATGGCGTTCTGCCTGCAGGAGCAAGGCTCAGCACGCACCTGTTTTTGGCCTGTGTAGATATTATTACCTAGTGCAGCGCAGGTTGCAGGTTCTGGAACCAACGGAGAGGAACATGCTCTCATTGGTTTGGATCCAACCAGTACCAGCACTCTGTAAGCTCGTTGTGCATGCGTCGTCGCGAGAGGACGCCCCAGATATTCCCACAATTTGACGTGCGATCACACACCGCATGGGGGTCTCGAGTCATGCGATACGGATAATCAGCGGCTTTTATCGAGGTGTTATAAATATTGAACAGCAGAGCTGGGGAGTTGAAGAATAGGGGGTCCGTATCCACAGTCCACGATGGGAGAGTCGGGATGCAGCCAAAGTGGTTATTGGCCTTGGCGGAACACATTCTCCTGTCGCTGCACCTTCTTTCCTCTCTCTCCAATCTGATGGATCATAATAAAGCCTCAAGCCCTGGAGACCAATCGGGGATATTCACCCGTCTCCCGCAATGGGGATAAGGAGCAGCCAGGTACACACAGGCCATCGGTGCATACTGTAGGGCATGGGTGATCCAGGGTCAATGATTGTGGATGTCGCTGCGTTGCTCAACTGCCTATGTTGTCTCTCCCATGTAGAGACAGGCAAGGGGGATGAGGATGGCCCATGGATAAGCAGAAGAGAATGCTAGAGGCGCGCGGGAGGTGACGAGAGAGGTGACGAGACGATTTTATTGGTACGCCCGTGGACGAGAGCTGCAATGACAGCTCTGGCAGCATGTAGAAAAAAGAAAAGAAAGGCTCTAACGGTAGGCGATCAAGCCTATTCCGTGCCACGATTATGCACAAGGGACCCCCTTTCAGAAAGGTGAGCAACGCCAGTGACGGAATAACGGAGAGCTGGCGATACTCCTGCATGCAGACCTACCTGTTGGGTCATCCCATGCAGGCAAGAGCTGGCATTCCCTTTCCTCCCCTTTGCTCACAAGAGTCTCCCACTTCCTTCGTCCAGCCCCCTGGCTGCAGGTTCTGGTTGGAGTGGGGGGTAGTTAACTGTTCTTGACGGCTAGAGCCCGAGCTACGAGCAGTCAATCTCGCTACTCGGTGCCTGAGCGAGCTCCTGAGTAAACCAACCTAATTACCCAGGTGAGTCGGTAGGGCAGCTCGGCACCGAGCCTCAGCAAGGTGAGAGCAGAGTCGTGCCTCCGACGGTACTATGTATTTGCCCCTCCATTCTCATCTCTTCTTCTTTGCCTGAGCCAGGGGTGCCACTGGCCATGTCTCTGTTTCGGGCGGGAAGCAACCGTTGTGACAAGTGGGTTCATTGGATTGCCATTCCCCGTCCCAAGACCAAGGCTCAGGCTCAGGCTCAGGCTCAGGCCCATGCCCTGACAGGGAGACCAGCGGGCAGGGAGGGAGGTGCCAGGTTCTCGGAGCGCATGGACTCGCTTCCACTGAGCTGTTGGTGACTCCCGCCGCGCCGCCCAAGCGCTGCAGCCCGTGCATTGACTGGGAAAACGCTAAGCAAAGTTCCCTGCGCGGCGATAAAAAATGCCCACCTTTGCCTTGGTTCGCCCATTCTCCCGCGTCTGTGCCTGCGTAGTGGCCATAGCCCATCAAATCGCTGGCCGCGGGACGACATGCTGCCCGTGCCGTTCCCTTGTCCGGCCGGCATCATCGCCTGGCCTGGCCTGGCCTGTCGAGGGCTTGGACGCGGAGATGCTCGCCAAAGCGGCTTAGGCACTGCGGCCGCTCTGGGCTAAGGCAGTTTCTGTGGGTTCAGCAGACTGGCAGAGCCCGTTGGCTGCCGTTTCAATCATTGCGTAAACCCCCCGATGTCCACTTCTCTTCCCTTGCTTAGCGGATGCGCAGCGCTGGCGAGAGCCCAGATTGGCTACCGCCAAAAGGGTTCTAGTGAACCCAATGCGCTGAACTTGTTCCCCGCCAACCCAAAGCAAAGCGACCCGTCACATCCCATGTCCCTGATTGCCATATGGAGCAAGCGTCCTGCTAGTACTGCCTCGCTACGGCTCCGTCCCTAACGTGCTGCTGCCATTTCTTTGCATCCTTCCTTTCATTCTATTGCCAGAATCCTCCAGACACTCTCCTCGCTTTTCCTTCGTTTTTTTTGGGCGCGCCCTTTTATTTTTGTTTCTAATATATATACTACTTTCCTCTTGCGCGATCCGTGCACTGGCTAGCTTCTGGGCTTCTTGGATTCCGGCACTCGTTTGCTTCTCACCAACTCTATCGCGATTGCGCTGAGGTCCAACTCCATTTCCAGCAAAACATTTGGGTCGCCAGCTCCCTCGGTGTAACTCGTCAGAGCTCTCAGCCTCCAGGTCAGCCGCCGGACAAACGAGCCATAGATATCTATATGTAAATATATCATTGTATTTATATGTAGATATCCTGCGGCCCGGCCATGCCATTGGCTCTCTAGCTCCCCGATCTCGCCGCCAGCCGCAACATCCTCATGTCTAAAAGGCGACGACCAAAGAAGCGGCCTCCCATGCAGCATCCACGCCCCATATCGCCTCCGCCGCCTCCCGCCCCGGAACCTGTGATAGAGAATAGATACCGTCCGGATCGCAGTAGCGGGCTGTCCAGTGAGGAAGGGACCGCCAGTGAGCTGGCCAGCGATGGCGTTCTTACAGCCATGACCAGCCTGCCGGCAAGTGAAGACGGTCTGGTCACATCGTCGGGGGTCCCAAGTGCCCAGAGTTTTGGCAATGATGACGAGGACACGGACCTCCAGTCGGTGTACATTGGGAGCATCTACCCCCAGGTCCCGGCCATGTTCCGAGCAGAACTGCCATATGTCGGTGCCGAATCGCATACGGTAAATGATGATATGTGAGCGAAAACATTATCCTGTATTTCCAAAGTTATATGTCACTGATGGGTGAGAAAGAGCGGCTTCTACAAGATCTTTATGGGCCCAGGACCTCGACTATAGGGAAATGCACGGGCGACTGTATTGTAGGGAATTTTACCAGCCGATAGACGACCTGGAGCAGATGAGATGGTCGCTTGTACACCATGTCTTTCAACATGTCCTCGGTGGTGAACTCACCACGATCCCTCTCGACAATCCACAGCATATCCTGGACGTCGGCACTGGGACTGGGGAATGGGCGATAAAAATGGCTGAGCTGTTCCCACAATGCGAAGTGATGGGCACCGATATCGCTGCTATCGCTGAGACACAGAGCATCCCCATGAATGTCTTTTTCGAAATTGAGGATGCGGAGGACTGGGACAGGAACGCCAACTACTACGACATGATCCATTTGCGTTCTATGGATGGCGCATTCAAGGATTGGAGATATATCTACGACCACGCCTTTGCGTCGCTCAAGCCTGGTGGATGGATCGAAGTGCTGGATGTCGACGGGGATGTAGCGGATGCCTTCCCTGCTGATTCGACCTTCAGGTTAATGTGCAGAGAACTCGATATCGCAGCCGAAAAATCTGGGCGGAGACGAGGGATACACCATCTGAACCCGGACTGGCTGATGGAGGCAGGCTTTGTCGAAGTCGGGAGGACGGAGTACTCACTTCCCATACACGTGGCAGAGGAGTCGGCAGGAAAGATCTGGCTGATATCATGCCTGGATGCGATGGAGGCATGTTGTCTAAGACTGCTAACAGAGCAGCTGGGCTGGGATCCAGACAAGTGCAAAGCGGCATGCGAAGTCGCTGCGAGGGAAATTGCGGACATGGCCAAGGACCCCGAGACATCCAGAAACCTGGTTGTGAAAATGTGCGTCCTGGTTGGGAGGAAACCTTTGGATGCCCTCCCCGGAAGCCCCAGATCGTTCGAGATGCCGAGATCTCCAACCCAATGGAGGTCATCAACCTGGATTAATGATGACGAATATCGATACTACACGAACCCAACGCGAACAGAGGACGGAGAAACTATCCGAGACGAAGACGAGGCCGAGGACGAAGAGAGTCAATCTCTGACTTCGTAAGACACACCCACACACGCGCACACATTATTCTTGCCCATATTCTTGTATATATGTACATATTCATCCAACATTCTGGAAGCGGAAGGGCTGGGAACCTGCGATGCGATCCCTCCCTTGCTATTCATTGCTTTTACTTTGGGGGCTCGGTGGGCTGTTGCTTTTGCAGCCATGTGAGCCCCTGCTGCATTATAGAGCGTGCACGGTGTTTATTATTTTTCGCCCTCAAAGTTGAGTATGTTTGCTCATCATTCACGACTTGCGGTTACGACAAGATTGGGCTGGGACATGGTGCCATTTCAAAAGGGTAGCATTTATTATTATTAGTATCAAGTACACACGCGGGGTGACCCGAAATTTATATGTATATATGAATAAATATTCTGAAATCCAACCTCGAAGGCTTCGGCATGTGTGAGAGAATGCGTAATAATTTCTAGGCATCTAGCATGTAGCTTTAGTATGCAATAGAGAACATGTAGATACGCACACCGAACAGATGATGGTGTGTCCGTTGAAGCTAAAAAGAAGTGGGTACCTTGAATAGGTGCCTGAACTGTGGGTGTTGCCTGTAGCGGCGGTGGTGCTTGACACATGACGTCCGTTGGGGGCCCATTCCCATCACCTCCTCCGAGCTCCCAACCTCCCGTTGCGACCTTACAGTTCCCGAAATTCGACCCCCACGGCTGCTGCGCATAGCCTACGACCAGCTTGATCTCGACCAAGGAACAGAAAGAGAGTGTTCCAGCAACTCCCTGCGGAGCATGAGGCTCTGAGATCACCCAATGGCTCTCAGCGATGCGTTCGGCTCTGGCAATGGCGTACCCGACCTGGACGACCTGCCCATCTTCTCTGTCGAGCCCGTGCAGCTAGCGTTCTCCATCGCAGCGGATTTCGTGGCCGCCCAGGTTGCCAACAATGTCATCATCCTGGCCCTGTCGAACGGGCGCATCCTAAGAATAGACCTGAACCGCCCTGAGGATATCGATGGTGAGAGCATTGGCGGGCAAAACCTAGCTGTCTTGGGAGGCGACTAACATCTAGGGTTATGCAGATATCGACTTGCCCAAGAAGAACTCCGATGTTGGCACGATTCGGCGCATGTTTCTCGATCCGACCGCATCACACCTGCTCATCTGCACGTCTGCAGGAGAGAACTACTACCTGCACTCCCAGTCCAGGCAGCCACGTCCTCTCAGTAGATTGCGCGGCGTGGCTATCGAGAGTGTTGCCTGGAACCCCTCCTTGCCGACCGCGTCAACGAGGGAGATCCTGCTGGGTGCCGCGGATGGAAATATCTACGAGGCCTCCATCGAGACGTCCAACGAGTTCTACAAGAAGGAAGTGAAGCATTTGAAGAACCTGCACAAGCTCCCGGATGGACCCATCACCGGACTGTGGGTGGACAGCCTAGGGGGGAAGCAGGACATGCGAAGGGTTGTCATTGCTACACAGAGCCGGCTGTTCCACCTCACTGGCAGGATTGGCTTCACCCATGACGGCAGCGGGTCGGTCTACACCAAACTGTTCGAGTCGGAGCAACCGATCGTGCACGAGCTGACCCGGACTGTCCAGGGCGCGCACTCGGCCCTGGCTGTGTCCCCGGACCACGAAGACAGCAATCCTCATGACGAAGGCGCTCCCGACCGCGCCTTTGCTTGGCTCACATCCCAGGGTGTGTTCCATGGCAAGCTGCTCAACTTCCCTACCGATGGTAATCTTGGCACCAAGGTATTCTCCGAATCGAAGATGCTCACGAGGTCTCAGATTACCTCTGCCGAAGGAAAAGGAAGACGAAAAGTAGCCTCGGAAATGATTGAAGACATTCTCCTCACGCAGTGGCACATTGCTAGTCTTATTGGTGGGCGAGTCGTGATCACGAACCGCCTTACGGGGGAGCTAGTGTCTGAGCATGATGTGCTTGGCCCTGGCCAAAAATCCATTGGCTTCTCTGTTGACCTGCAGAAGAACACATTCTGGCTCTTCTCATCCACTGAGATATTTGAAATAGCCGTAAGAGACGAGGATCGGCACATTTGGGAAATCATGATGAAGACGCAGCAGTTTGAGACTGCATTACTTCACGCCTCTACTCGGACACAGAAAGAGACCGTTGCTGCCGCCTATGGAGATCACTTAGCCTCCAAGGATCACTGGAACGAAGCAGCGACTGTATACGGCCGTAGTAATAAGCCGTTTGAGGATATTGCGCTGAGTCTCATCGACAACAACCAACCAGATGCCTTGCGGCAGTTTCTTCTGACGAGGCTGGCGACAACCAAGAAAGCCGCCATCATGCAGCGAATCATGCTTGCCAGCTGGCTCGTGGAGGTTTTCATGGCAAAGCTAAACTCTCTTGATGATACCATAGTCACACAGGCTGAACTTTCAGAGGACCTGAATCCCACGGAATCTCGGAAGTTGCTGGATTCTGTTCGAAAGGAGTATCATGACTTTGTCAACAAGTATAAAAATGACTTAGACCGGAAGACCGTGTACGATGTCATCAGCAGTCATGGGAGGGAGGGCGAGCTCCTCTACTTTGCCACTGCTGTAGACGATTATAACTACGTCCTCTCTTACTGGGTACAAAGAGAAAGATGGACTGAGGTCCTTAACGTGCTCAAGAAGCAGACCGACCCTGACGTATTCTACCGCTACAGCAGCGTGTTGATGACGCACACACCTCAGGAGACAGTCGAGATCCTCATGCGCCATCCTGATCTGAAGCCTCGCTCCCTAATCCCCGCCTTATTGGAATACAACCGTACCTTCCCAGGCACTGCAGCCTCGCAAAACCAGGCAGTGCGGTATCTGAACTATGTCATTTACCAACTCAACTCCAAAGATTCCGCCGTGCACAACACCCTAGTTTCCATCCATGCTTCTCACTCATCCTCTGACGAGTCAGGTTTGCTCTCATACCTCCAGGCGCAAGGCGACGAGCCATACTATGACCCAGACTTTGCCCTGCGACTCTGCATCCAGCATCACCGGACATTGTCATGTGTTCACATCTATACTAGCATGGGCCAGTATCTCCAGGCTGTTGATCTTGCGTTGTCCCATAACGAGCTTGAGCTCGCAGCAGTTATTGCGGACCGGCCCTTGTCCAATCCACAGCTGAGGAAACGACTCTGGCTTGCCGTGGCTAGGAAGATTATTCCGCAGTCCAATGGAATCAAGGCAGCAATAGATTTCCTCAAAAAGTGCGAGCTCTTGAAAATCGAGGACCTGATCCCATTCTTCCCGGATTTCGTTGTTATTGATGATTTCAAGGAGGAGATTTGTGGTGCTCTGGAGGACTACAGCCGCAATATTGATAATTTGAAGAAAGAGATGGATGAATCCTCACAGACAGCCTCAAATATCAAGGTCGATATCGCGGCCCTGGACCATCGCTATGCGATTGTTGAGCCTGGGGAGAAGTGCTACGTGTGCGAGCTCCCGCTGCTCAGTAGACAGTTCTTTGTGTTCCCTTGCCAGCATGCATTCCACTCTGATTGTCTGGGGCGGCGAGTGCTGGAGCAATCAGGGATGGGCAAGTCCTCGCGAATTAAAGATTTGCAGGTTCAGATCCACAAGGGTCTCGTCAGCGGCCCCAAGAGGGAGGCTGTTGTAGCAGAACTGGATTCCCTCGTGGCTTCTGCTTGGTAAGTTGCCCTGGCGAAAGTAGGTCATGTTTTTTGTTTGCGTTAGAGCTAACAGTTGTTTGATGCAGTATTCTGTGCAGTGATTTTGCCATCAAGAGGATAGACGAATCGTTCATCACCAAAGATGACCGCCCCGAAGACTGGATTTTATAGCCTACTAGACATGGCAGCCAAGCGAACAACAGACATCTATTTGTGCATTGAGGAAGAGGAAGCAATAGCTGGTGTGAGGAAGAGCCGGGAAGATACCCATTCTGACATTTTATCGATATAATGGCATCACATCGCATCAATCTGAGGGAGCATAATATCTCAATAGACTTTATCCAAGTATTTCATGCGGGAGCTTCCTCCTACTGACTACCTACTTCTGTCCAAGACACTACACAAGACATTCCGTGACGTTGAGTGTGGACCGAGTGAGCATGAGAATACTGACGATGACGCCATACAGACCCAGGACCTCGGCGAAGATGAGGATGAGGACCATTCCTACATAGAGCCGCGGCTGCTGGCTGCTCGCACGAACTAAGAACAGATTGTTAGAGGAACAGATAGCCGGAGGCCACAACCAGTGTGAAGCGACACTCACCTCCAGCATCGCCAACGATGCCGATGGCGAACCCGGCTGCGAGCCCGCACAGCCCCACGGACAGCCCCGCGCCGAGCTGGAGGAAGCCGGTGTGGACGGCCATCTTCTCGGTGATGGAGTTCGACATGATGACGCTGGCGACGAGGCCGTAGATGGAGAGGATCTGGGCCATGATGGCGCAGAGGGTGTTCTGCATGAGGCGCTCGGGGCGGAGGACGCCGCAGGAGAAGATGGCTCCGGCGGACTTGGCGGTGCCGTAGGAGGCACCGATGGTGGTGAGGACGATTGCGCAGGCGCAGCCCATGGCGCCGAAGAAGGACTGTTGATCACGGGTTGGTTTCGGTTGGTTGGGAGATATTGGGGGGGGGGGGGGGTTGGGGGGGAGACTTACAGAGTAGATGGGGCTGTTGTTGATGAGACTTGGGGTTAGGCATGGAGGTTTACTTTGGGGTTGCGGGGGACGTACCAGCGCTCTAGGCTGGCCATGAGAGCAGGGTCCATCATTTTGGCGAGGGAGATGGGGGATGCGATGAGGTTAAATTGATTTAGTTCTTGCTGATATATGTTAAGCGAATGAGAGTCGTGGTGGGCTAGGATTTCATGGAAGTTGGGAGATCCGGTTGTTGTGTACCTGCAGGACAATTGAAGTGAACACGGGATGCCTTTTTATTTACTCTTTACAACGCTGCTCTGATTTACTGGTATAATTTGATTTACGAGATACGGTCTGCGTGTCGCTGGCCAGGCAGACGAATTCTACTGGTTCACAGACACCTTGGAGGGTGTGGGCTGAGGGTAGCGGGAGAAGAATGTTGATGCCTGGAGATTGTGCATTGGGCTGAGGTAGTAAGATGGTCAGCTCAGCACATCAACCAGTTCAACTCAACGCTCGGTCATTGATGATAAGGAGGAACAGCGCAGTATAAGAGTATCAGTGGGAGATGTTATCCAACATCCTTTGTTCCAAGTTCAAGCTGGGCTGGCCTTCATTTGACCCATCGCATTCCTTGCATGAGGCTCGCAGGCAACGACGGCAGGCGAAGATTCCAGATGATCGCCCTTCTTGATCAGTTATTTGCCCCTGTGCTGCATCTCGGGAGTGAAATAGATTGCTTTGTTGTACTTGGGGTATCGTTATATAGTGAGGCGGGCGTATGTGTGATGTCGCATATTCTATAGATGACAACCCAAACTGCACTCTACGGCTACTACAGAAATCCGATACGCGGTGCCGACTGGGATTAGCCTGAAAGGGAAGACCAGGGATGTCGATGGCATCGCGGGAGCAGGGGTCAGATCTCTTGGCCAGCAGGATATCTAATATCTACTATTTGGTTGGCGCCCGAGTCTTGGAGGTCGCTGGAGCTTAAAACGTTATCCGGGATAAGCAATAGAAAACGTGCTACAATATCACTATCCCATGATTAATGTGCATCACTAGGTTTGCTGTTTGGCTGGTGTTTGAAGCCGGTGGTTTCACCCACAGCGGCAGCGACAATGGCCCTGGGGCTATACGCCGGGCTATACGCTGCTGTAATCAAGAGGCGGTTCTGGGCCGTGGCTGCCCACTATTATCTGGGGTGGATATTCATAGAATTTTGCAGTTTCAATATCTCAACGTCAATCCAATCCCTACTCGACTAGCTCAGCCATTTGGCGGCTAATTTGATACACAGGCTATGCGGCAACCCTCTGCTCGTCATTGCAGCAGGGCTGTCGTATGCATGGCTGGAATCAAGCGAGCGGTGAACGCTCTGGAATGAAGACGTCGCCGACCACATCTGCCGGTCAGCCAGAGCGCCGGTCCCCGTGATGGTCCCGCGTCGTCATCACCACTCGCGGGAGGGTGGCAATCTCTGCTAATCCTAGAGGGAAAATCCAGTGTTCAAGCTTTTGGGGAGCCGCGGGATTCGTCAGGGTGCGTGGTGGCGGTGGGCGACTGGTCGGCGCGTATATGCCGAAGCATGAGGATGGTGACGACGCTCGCCAATTAAGCCCCCGGCCGCCCCGGCTGTTCGGAACACAAGCGTGCGGACAACCCTGAGGTTTGACGTCGGCTGCCTCGCTCTGCGGCTGAAGAGACGAACCAAAGTATGTCTCCTGTGCCCTGCGCCGTGGTCGCTGTGCAGACGTGGCGCGCGCGTCGTAATGCCTTCATCGGCCTGTGATCATATAATCCCCATTGCTTCCCCCGGTCGCTTCCATGTCGCTGCGATCTGCATTGCGCATGCACCATCTCCTTGGCATATATTCTTGAGTGGCTTCTTAGTTCTAGTGTCCATTTTCCGGGGAAGCAATGAAGGCGTCTAGCATCGTTTCGTTCGGCGCACTGGCAGCGACCGCCGGTGCGTTGGAGCTGGTTGCAAGAGACGATGGCTCGCCTCGAGTTGTTGGCTTTCCCATGGAGCGCAAGTCCATCCAAGACCGGGTGGAGCACGACAATCAGAGATTGAGCAGACGAAGCAAGACGTTGGATCTCCAGCTTGATAACCAGGTATGCACGCATCTCTAAAAAGTCCCTTCTTGACCCGGGTTTGGCTGACTGTGACAGCTATCCCTCTACACCATCAACATCACCGTAGGCACCCCAGAACAAAGTGTCATGGTCGATATCGACACCGGCAGCAGCGATCTGTGGTTCAACACGCCCAAGTCTCGCCTGTGCCAGAACCGCGCCAACCCGTGCTCCGAGATGGGCACCTACACAGCCAACAGCTCCTCGTCCTACAACTATGTCAGTGGCATCTTCAACATTACCTATTCTGGAGGCAACGGCGCCTCGGGCGACTACGCGACCGACAATATCAAGATCGGCGGCCAGACCATCAACAACCTACAGTTTGGCATCGGCTACCGCAGCTCCTCGCAGGAGAATATTCTCGGGATTGGGTATAAGAGCAACGAAGCCGCAGTCGCACATGGGAACACACAGCCCTACGATAACCTCCCCGCCAAGATGGTCACCGACGGACTGATCAACTCAAACGCCTACAGTATATGGTTGGACGACCTCAACGCCACGACGGGGAGGTTGCTGTTCGGAGGAGTGGACCAAGCGCATTACCTGGGTTCGCTGGTGACCCTACCTATTCTCCAGGAGGACAATATGTACGCCGAGTTCTTCGTTCAGATGACGGGTATCGACTGGGACGGCTCGTCTGTGACAGATGATAACACCACCCTATCTGTTCTTCTCGACTCCGGAACGTCGCTCATGTACCTGCCCGATGACATCGTGGAAGTCCTGTACAGCTCAGTCGATGCATCGTACGACAACTCGCAGGGTATTGCCCTGGTGGATTGCAACATGGCCGCCACCAACAAGAACCTCACCCTGCACTTTGGCAGCAGCCTGAAAATTGACGTCCCCGTCTCGGAGCTGGTCCTCGATACCATGTCCAGCGACCAGGACAGCACGAGTGGTTCCTCGCACTCCCAGGTATCCGCCTGTCTGTTCGGAGTGGCACCGGCTGGGGATTCACCGGCTGTGCTGGGAGACACGTTCATGCGGAGTGCCTACGTGGTGTTTGATCTGGACAACAACGAGATCTCCATGGCACAGAGCAACTTCAATGCCGGTAATAAGGAGATCATCATGGAGATCGGCAAGGGCAAAGGGTCGGTGCAGTCGGCGGCCACGGCGTCCCCCACCTCCACCCAAACAGCCTCGACAGCCACTTCGAACAGTGATAATGGAAACGGCGCTCCTGGATTATCACACCCGTCGTGGACCGGCTTGGGCTTGTCACTCGGCTTGGTGGCGATGGGCTTCCTTTCCGGGACACAGCTTCTCTGATTGAATGTTGAATGGGCACGATATCATGACGGCGTATATTGCACATGACAGGCGTTTTGTTTTTATGTGGTTTTATGATCATCAAGTAGTCTCTTTCGGGCGTTATATAAGTGGATTCTTGCGTCGACAATCATTACCTATCCGGCATTACTTTTAGTGTAGATTTCCCGCTGAGCAAGGTAGATCTAGAAAACAAATAAGTGAACATATAAGATTTACCGGTTCCTCACTCAATCCTTCCAAAGCTCCAGATATTCAACCCAACCTTGACACCCTTCTTCACAGGGAGACCGGCGTGCCAGGTCGTATCATACCCGAGCCCTTCCGGGCTGAAATTCTCCCAGTAGACGGCGTTCCCCGGCGCCACCTTGAACACAGTCCCCTTGGGCTCATCCGGCCCCCCTTCCTCGTTAGGCTTCTGCTTGGCACTCTCACCATCACACTCGATGAACTTGCACCACCGGGCACCGTCCTCGGGGCTGGTGGTGTTGATCCGCCCAGCCAGGTACGGAAACTCGGTGCCCCCGCCCTCGACGTCGTCGGAGCCGTGGACCCAGGCCATGAAGGTGCTCACGCGGCCCCAGCCGTCCTGGTTCCGGCTGAAGTCGAAGTGGTGGCTGTAGTGGCCGTGGGGCGCGTGATACCGCTGGGTGCGGACGCGCTCGATCCACACGTCGCGCCGCCAGCCC